GTGAAAAAAATCATAAAAGTATCACGTAGTACTAATGCAGTACTTACTCAATTCATTTTTTATTTCTATACAGTATAAAATAAGTTAATTGATTTGTTTTTAACTGCCTCTTTGTTATGCTCTTGTTCTTCGAATTAGACTCATGGTACAAAAAACATCGTCAACATTAAAAAGGATTTCGTCGATCCGAAAAATATCAAAAGGTAAATATTTTTAAGAAGGAATTAACTGAGCTGGTAGGATAAAATTTAGTCGAAAATTTATGATTCAACGAAAATATAGCTCGTTTTGCTAAAACCGGGATATCTCGTTAAAAGCGCGCTATGCTCCAATCGACTAATTCTAACATTGTACCACCAACAAAGTATTTCCGATTTCTTCGCGGCCAACTCATTAACGCAACCGATTTCTCTGGTCGCAATTAAATTTGAAAGTTTCGGTCTTTTCAGAAGGAATTTATTTATATCAGGGGTTTCCAACTTACGTGAGGCCGGGGGCCACAATTAAAAACACAAATCAAATGGCGGGTCGCAACTTCATCAAAATTTTATGTAGGACTCTTTTAAGAATTGAAGAAATATCTCTTTGAGGTCTTTGAAGGATAATTAAATATTACTGTCAGATTTTTACCAAGTTGTACAAATTGCACCCATGTATTAAACAATTAATGTGCAACAGATATCTAATTGTTAAGATATAAAACTTTAAAAAGGTTGGTATTAAAACTTACATAGTAGCACACAAAATGTTCCATGACAAAATTGAGGTTTGTCTGCTGCAACCACCAGAGAATAGATATTTAAATTTTAAATTTACAAATGTGTGTGAGAATATTCTCGTCCAAAATGAGTGGTTTTAAAAAGTTAAATCGGAGAATTTCTTCGAGAAAATTTCTGATACACACATGCTAAATTATATTCACAAAATACAAAAAAATGAAATAAAAATGAGCAACATACACGATTATTTTTGTATTTGAATAAATATTTTCTTGGATGCAAAACCTGAGAATTTTTTTTGCACCGTTGGTATGATAAATTTCACAGAAACGAAGAAATTGGGTTTTTATTAACGAGAAAAGTATTTTAAACGCATATAGATTTTTTACGAAAATTGTCAGCAAAAAAATGACAAGACAACTAATATATTTTAGTTCGCGGGGCACAAAAAAAGGCTTCGCTGGCCGGATGCGGTCCCCGGAGCGCCAGTTGGAAAGCATTGATTTATATAATCTAAAAATTTGTTTTTTTTTTTTTTTTTTTTTTTTACAAAAATATCCATATTTTTATAAATATTTAAGATAGACATACTAGATCTTATCCAGTAATTGCAAATAAAAATCAAAGTAGTCGATAAAAGTTACAAGTTTATTGCTAGCTTTTCTAGCATAGGTTGTTTAAAGGAACTTGTTTACCTTAATTATTTATTATCGATCCCTCAAAATTCTGAAAGCTTTAAATCTTTTTGCTTAGTTTGTTAAATCGCAAGAACTAAACAACTTTCAAGTTACAAAATAATGCTCTGAGTATTTCATGAGAATTTGAAAAAAAATTTCAAGAACTGTAAGTATCTCTTCTTTTATTGTAGGACAGTGTATATATATTTTATGCCATTATTTAGCTTAAGTTTCAGAAATATCTCATCATCTCTAATTATTTGCAGAACTTATATAAATATTAATGATCAGCAAAGAAATATTGCATTTTAACAAATAACATCAAAAAATTAAATTTTTTTCAATTAAGAAGACAATTCACCCTAAAAATATCTGGTGTTAAGCCCACATGATTAAATAAGGTGACTTCATTCATCGCTATATTTAAAAGTACATTTTCTGAAATTAACATATAATATATGTACTTGTAAAATTTTGAGATCTTAGAATATAAAAATTTTAACTATTCTTTCGAAATTAATCAAATGTATTAGATGTTTAATATTAAATTGAAACTTTAAATTGTATATTAGTAAAATTAATAATTTAAAAAGGATATCAAAAGTAAGAATAATAATATCAATATGAGAGCTTAACTTAATAAATTATTTTTGGAATCAATCAAATATGCACAGTGTTTAATCTCTGTAAGAAATTTTAATACGTGCATTACTACAATTAATAAACTAAACTAAACTCAGTGGAGCAACAGCCAATAGAGGGCCAGGCCCTATTATGCCCAACTCAGTTTTCTTGACCTTGGGCTCTTGGGTTGACCTGGGGTGCATGAGCAGCGATGTTCCGGTCAGGTGGTCAGCCGAAGGCGGAACCCTCAGTGTTTATTTAGCTCCCAAGCACGCTTGGTACTCATTTATCGACCCACTGAAGGTGGTGGAAGGCTCAGTCAANTTACTTTAATAAATGTTCAAAATCATAAAATAAATGTGCAAACACAGTATCTAATAGAGTTTTATTTTAATTAACAGAAAATTACTTTTATGGAGGTCGATGGAGATTTCGAAAAATTATGTAGGGGTCGATGATCAAAAAAGTTTGGCAACCCCTGGTATAGAGAAAGAAAATATGCAAAAGAAAACATAGTTTTAAATTCATACCTCAAAAAAAAAAAAAAAAAAAAAAAAAAAANAAAAAAAAAAATTAGGGGGGGGGGTGATCCCTCATAATGGCGGTTTCATTTTTAATAAATATTGTTTACTAGTAAAAGATAAAATTTGTGGATAAACCCATATTGTTTTGAGCTTTCTTTTATAAATTCCAAAACCACTTAGAAAATTGCTTGAAATTTTTTTAATTTTTAAGATATTCAAATAAAGCTTTTATCATTAGTTTCCAAATACGATTCCCTACAAAATTATGAAAAAACTTTTTTATTTTTTTTATGCGTATGAGCAGCATAAAAGAACTAGTTTAAATACTCATATCTTGCGCAGTAATTAAAGATTTTTTTTTCTAAAATTTAAATCAACAATTTTGTAATTAATTTAAAATTTTTTTTAATTCCATTGAATGTTTATGAAGTTATAGCAAAAAATAAAAAAACGTAAGGCAAAATTTCTTTTTATAAAATTGTCCATACCTCCATAAATATTTACTCTAGGTTGGAAAAACTTTATGGAGTTATTAAAAATAACAACTTAAGTAATCGATGTAAGTTTTTTACTTGATTTTCTGGCATAGAGTGTTCAAAAATACTTGTTTCCTTTCGTAATTTTCTGTAGGTCTTTCAAACCGTTGAAAGATTTAAATTTTATTGCTAAGCATGAAAAATCGCACGAATTAAACATCTCTAATGTTACAAAAATAATCCCTTAAATATTTCTAGAGAAATTTTAAAAAATGTCAAAAACTGAAAGCCCGACAGCTAAAATTAACAAGCCCGAAGGAACCGCAATATTTGCTCGTTACAACCGTAAAATAAATAAATAAAAGAGAAAACTCGCTGGTTAAAAGAAAAGAGGTATAGAAAAAAAACCATAAAAGTTAACACATACTTCTAATGTAGTACTTACTTAATTTATTTTTTATTTCTATACAGTATAAAATAAGTTAATTGATTTGTTTTAAACTGCCTCTCTGTTATGCTCTTGTTCTTCGAATTAGACTCATAGTACAAAAAACATCGTTAACATTAAAAAGGATTTCGTCGATCCAAAAAATATCAAAAAGGAATATTTTTACGAAGGAATTAACTGAGCTGGTAGGATAAAATTTAGTCGAAAATTTATGATTCAAAGAAAATATAGCTCGTTTTGCTAAAACCTGGATATCTCCCTAAAAGCGCGCTATGCTCCAAAAGACTAACTTTAACATTGTACCAACAAAGTATTTCCGATGATTTCTTGGGGGGGAAAAATTATATATATATATATATATATAATCTTATATTTTATAAGATGTTTTTTATAGTTTATGAGATTATATATATATATTAATTATTATTAAACTGTAACTTTTAAAAGTAGTAAATTTGAGTTTAACTGCTTAATAAAAAAAATGACCTATGCTAGGGGGGGGGGACGAATGAGGGGGGGGGAACGAAATTTGGGAAACAAATTTGCATATTTTAAATTATTGGTAAATATTATAATTTATTTCGTTATGCTATAATTTTTTCTCACTTTTAATAGTTTTTTGATGCAAAAAAAAATTTCGAGTGCAGTAAAATTATAATTTTTTTGCAGCCTTGTACTATCATGTCAGAATATAAGATAGATTTTGTCCTTTCTTTAAAATTTTGAATTAATTTTATCGCAATCAAATTTGTTTTTATTTTTTTAGAGGATCTGCCTCTATTTAATAACAAATATTAGGTTGATTGTTTTAATTGGTGGACAGAATATTGATATTTTCTTCTATTTAAGATATGCTATCAACTTGACCTTGCCTCAATCAAAAAAAAAAAAAAAAAAATTCCGCTGGAGAAAGTTTTTCCATTTTCTTTATATTTTTTTTCACCACCGATTAATTTTCTCCTTCCGCTTGTCTCTTCTCTTAATTAAAAGTAACTACAGAACCTACGTATTTAGCTGGAATAATCACATTTTTTAACCATTTCAAGCACATTGTTGGCCATTTATTGGCCGTTGTTACCTACGGCGATAATACCGAATTCATTTACTTCAGATTAACACGAGAATGAGCTGTAAATCTACAATATCAATTTTTTTTAAAAAGATAATTTTAACAAAGAAAAAAATATTGATTTACTTAATGGTCCATTTAGTGACACAGATAGTTTAAGTATTTAAAAAAGGTGTTAATTAGTTCTTTTAAAGTATATGAACAGTCATAAAAAAAGGTTAACAAAAATTTAAATCGTCAAATAAAATAACTTCCTATGATTTAAAAACTAAGCAAAACCAAAGATTAACTCATTACTACTTACTAAAATTCGAAATATACAAAATAAGTTCAATCATTCAAATTACATTTATAGAGTATTAAATTAAATATTGTTTCAAACATATTTATTAAGAAAGTAAGTATGTATTTTAGTTAAGAGTAAAAAGTTAAACTAATTTTAAAAGTGAAATAATATACTTACAAATGGAGTTCTATGGGAAGAGTTTACTGTAAATCTGCTTCCATTCATCTTTGAAACATGAAATATCTACAAAATAATCAGCTTACATTCATTACAGTATACAGACAAAAATATTTTATTAAAAATTAATTTTCAATGTGTGAATGCTGCACAAATTCTTCAAGGCTTTACCAAGTGCTTGATTCAAAAAATCTGGGGTAAAAGAGCCTAAACATCTAGGAAAATGTGAAGACATGAATATCTGATTAAATTAAAGTGTTCAGTGGCCACAAGAAGAGGGAGAAAACTAAAAAATGAAGTTAATTGAATAATCCCAAGAAACTAAAGAGGAAAGATAGATTCGATGATACAAAAAAATAGTTTTCTTTAAAGAAATATTATGATATTAACAGAAGCCAATATGTTTTGAGCCCTCAAAAATAGGGGCCTCAAAAATATATTTTCAAGATTCACCAGACACGAATGAGGTAAACAAAGAGCATCTGAAACATTGAATAGTCTCTGTTTTAAATTTCTTTTGTTTTCCTCGTTCATGTCTGGTGAATTTTGAGAATGGACGCTTATTTTTGAGCGCTCAAAACATGTCAACTTGTATTACCATCTTCATATTTTTGTGAAACAAATGAAGTTTTATATTATCAAGTATGAAACATGAAGTATTCAAGTTATTAAAATCAAATGGTGGTATGAACTAGCAAGTCTAGCACAAAAACAAAAAATGAAGGAGAAATAAAATCATTAAGTGCCTCGGTGCCACTAGTGCCTCAGGATCATTAAACCATTATTTTCTTGAATGAAAACCATGAAGAGAATAAAATCAGAGATTCCGCTTACAGAATGTCCGAAATTATCCTAGATATGACAATGTATTGTATTGCATTGTTAAGTGTTGGTATGTTTAGTATTAAGGGCACATAATTTTTCCTCTCCTCTCAAGAAAATTTGTGAATAACCATTTCTCGTGATACAGGTTTTTGTGATAGGTTCAACTATAACTACTTTCTTGTTTTGAATGTCTTAATGTTTTGTCTATTAATAGATGAAGCAATTATAAATGTGGGTACTAAGAGATAGACGAAAAGAGAATCTATCTTCTGCTCTTTCCTCATGGAGGCTGTTTTTCCCTTTACATTTTGTTTCAGTTTTTAAAGAACAATTAGTTAATTTGTTTAAAATTTTGTAATTTTTGAATATTTTGATTTTTTTTTTTTTTTGAAAAAGAACTTTATTTAGTTTAAAAGGTCTTTAATTCATTTTTTAAACTTTCTTTTACTGTTTATTCATTAAAATGAAAAAAAAATTGAAAAGATAAAACTTATTTTTTAAATTTTTATTGTTAAACAATTTTAGCAATTAAAACATTTGAAATTTTTGTCTTAATAAATTGCACTAGTTTCACTATGATTTTGTTTCTAAAATTGTCTTTTGATCATTACAATTTATTTTTAAAAAAATAAATTAAGTAAATAACAAGTTTTTTAAAAAAATCTGTTTTTAAAAAACTTTCTCATTTTTTTACTTCCATTCTTTTCTTTTTAGGTTTGTTCTTTTGGAAGCATGGTTGCATACTATCCAGTTTTCAATTAGACTTATTTCATTCTATTCTTAATGAAGTGTTATTATCATAATCAGTATAGTGAATGNAATGTGTTGTTGTGATTATTACTTGTACCCTGGAATTATTAACATCACAATGTGATTCTTATAATGTAAATTAAAGATTTTATTAAAAAAATATTGTGTGTTGCTCCTTTCTTTGGTAATATTAATAAGGTAATTGAAATTTGTTTTGTATTATTTTTATTACCATATAAGTCAGTAATTTAAGAAAAAAAAATCTAATTTAAATACACACACTATATCGTGTGTTTTTCTTTAAATTGAATCATAATATAGGGTTCAGCACAAATAAATTATCCAATTTTAAATATTTATAGTTTTGTAACTATTTCACATTTTACAAAAAATTATTTATTGTTCAGATATAGAGTGTTCGATTTGTGATCCTTATATTGCTTGACGAACTTCTAATCTGTACTCAAGTTTGTTCCACCCAACTTGTAGTTTTATGCTGTCAATGGTTTCTCATGCATGTGTTCTTTTAGCTCCACTTTGAGTGCGTGTCACTGTTTATACAAAAATCCAGAGACCTTACTCTGATCTCTTTTTATTGGGTTATGTCAAATGCTCTGTTTATAAATCATCTAAATGAAAATACTGCAAGAATCTACAGAACATATTTCTGTTGCGTTAGAAACCATTAAAAATGTAAAACTTCAAAAGTGTGGACCGAACTCAGGTATTCTGCTAGACATAATTAACTACACATTCTTAAGACCCATTCCGACCAGGGTTTCCAAATTTCTGGCTTCTTTTTATTAAAAGTGAGTCCCTATTTAAAATATGAGTTCTCTACTTTTTTTTCCATCTATTAATGTGCATAATCGTAATTATTCTATTGATTGAGAAATAAAGTGAAGGATTTTAAAGCAAGTAAACAGTTATATTTCAAGGCTTTTAATTAGGACAGATAAAACACCTGCATTATGACTTAGAATTATTCCAATTCACTTTAGCCATTAATAAAAGATAAATTTTATTATTTTTATCTTCAAAATATGGTTGAAATTTTGTTAATGTGCTATTTTTTTTCCCTCACAGAATTATGGACCCTTGGGATGCGATATTTGACCTCTGCAATTTTTAGCTTATTTGATACATTGTAGTGCATAAATAGAATTGCTACTACTTGATTACAGATTAGGTGTTTGTCCCATAACATAAGATTTGCACATTAAACTGAAAAAAAAAGAAACATGGTATATTTTTCTTTGATTTTATTATCACTTATTGTATCACTGAAATAGTTTCAAAAATATGAATAATTTTAATTTCCTCTCTTATTTATTTTAACCATGTATAAATAGTCATAAATTAAACAGAGATATTTGGAACCTAATTATAAGAAAACTACAGATTAAATAATATTAATTCTATAATCTTTTGTCAAGAATCAAGATTCTATAAATAAATATTTCAATAAATTTATTTTAATTTTAATAATTTTTTTAAAAATAATTAATTTAATTTTAAAGGATTAAATTTTATTAAATTATTGTTTTTGAAACTAAGTAAACTTTGTAATGTGTAATTTGATTCTAAAACTTCAACTTTATTTTCAAAATTGCTAATTTGCTTTAAAACTAACTTTTTGAAGCTAAATCATTGCTAAATTAATTTCTAATTTTGAGTTATATAATATTTTAAATTACAGTAAAGTATATATATCTTTTAAAGCATATATAGTTATTTGGAGGTAATTATAAGTCAGGGGTCTGTCTAGGTTTTTCTGAGAGGTACCTATTTTGTGAAATTTTAGAATTAATTTGTGAAAAATTAAAAATTATATTAAAAAATCAACACAAAAATATGGTAAAAATATGAATTTATCGTTTCTTAAGGGATGCAAAAATATAATTTTAAGAAAAAGTATTTTGTGAAACTACTGTTTTTCCTACAGTTGAATTTGTGAAGGTACGGCTAAACGGTAGTAAATTCGGCCTGGACAGACCCCTGATTATATACTTAATAATTATAGATAATTTCGTTTTCTCTTCTCTATAAGTAATATTTGAAGATATGTTGAAATACTCTTTTCAACATTCTTTTTTTTTCTTCAATGAAACTGGGAAACCTTATATCGATTAAAGTGTACCAACCAAATTACTCAAGGGGCCACTGACCCTTACCTTCATTCTAGTTATAAGGTTTTCTATTATACATTCCTATATGGCTAACACATGAATTAGAAAATGGGCACTTAAATTGGATCATATTATAAAACATCAGAAATGCTTAATACTTTCAGTAAGTCATTTTTATTTTTAATTACAGAGCAATAAAAAATGAGAGGGGCCAAAACGGCTACAGCTGTTTTTCTAGTGTTACAGCATTTTCAGAGCTAGTTAGCAGAAAAAATCTAGATGTCGGGTGGCCCTGTGGCAGATTTTTTGTGGAGCTATATGCGACAAAACTCTCTTGCACTAATATCTTTTAGCAAGGTACTTTTAATAATAACAAACATCTATGTTACTAATATAAAATAACAAAACAAGTTTTCATTGAATTTTGTGACTGGGGGCATAAATTTTATTTTTTTCAAATATATCTTATTCCTAGTCATAAAATATGCAAAATAACATATTTTACTTTCTAAAGTTAAATATAAATAATTTACCTTAAAAAAAAAATTACAAGACCATTTTTAGAAAAAAAATATTGGACATTTAGGTATATCAAAATTCAACCTAATTACTTGCCCAGTCATGAGGTTATCTTAATTAAATTACCTGATTTTCACCTGATCATTGTGGCCACCCTGTGAAGTTGTAAAGTATTGTTTATGTCATGATACATTTAGGAAACAAAAATTCAATTTCTGAGTATCTTTAGATTTATATATTAATATAAATACAGAAAACCTCTTTAAGATGAAAAAATTTTGGATGTAAAAAATTGGATTTCTCTGAACAATTCGATTTACAGAAATGAGATTTTTACACACCATAAGAAATAGTAATTTTTTAATTTGCAAAAAAAAAAAAATGTAAACGAAGGAAAACCAATTAAGTATTATATATAAATCCAACACAATTTTTGGAAAAAGAAGACAATTAAAACGTTTAAAACAGTAGTTGAACATACCAATATGTACACCAACAAAAAAATAATAAGACAATAGTTTTATCTAGGAATGAAATTAGGGGAAGTAAATAATAATTCTACAATGTTTTTGTTGAGGAATTACCTGAACCTCAGGTTAGCTTCAAAAAAATCTTACTGTCAACAAAACGGTACTGTGGAAACAAAAACGAATAAAAAATGTCAAATTTTCAAAACTTGACAAATTTACCGCGATGGCTCTTGCCAGATTCAATGCTACTGGCAGTTATAGTTTTAAAAAATAAAAAAAATTTTAATGAAAATAATTCAAAATAATTTAATGAAAACTTCAATTAAATTAGATTTTAATTAAATGAAATTAATAAAAATTTAGAAGAAGACAAAGAAGATACGAAAAATAAAATGATTTATTGGTTCGAATGATTTCAACTCATTCAAAGCGAATATTTGAAGAATGTATATATATTTCAAACGAAAACCGAAAAACTGGTAATCTTTAACTTGAGTATCGAAATTTTAAAGTTGTATTCGTAATGGCAACATTATGAGTAAACAAACCAAAAATGCGCGCTAGGTTCTCTTTAAGCTAAAAAATAATGTTTGACAGGTGTAATTAATTAATTTTAATTCCCAAGTTTTTAATTAGTTATAAATTGTTTTTAAATTAAGTTATAGCAATGGTGAGACATTTTATTAAATTGTCGTAGATTTTATTAACATGAGAAACAAATCTTTTTTTTTATGGTATTCTTGTTTTCTATTGTTAATTTCAAATTTTATTTGTTAGGATATTAGAAAGTGGTTAGTTTCTTCTAAGCCAAAGGATTCTTCATCAAATACTGGAAACAAGAAAGATCGACCAAAGAAGGCTGAAGATTCTCCTTCGTCATCAGTAAGCATTGCCTACTCTCAAACCTGTCGAAGGCTTTGAGATATAGAATTTTTTTATCACAATTTTAATTGAGTTTTTTTTTTTTTTTTATTCATGTTAGTAACATTTCGGTTTCGATACCAGCGTCAAAATATTGGCCAAACTTTGACGATTTTCGGGCAGCGGCTCTCTAGAAACTGAAAAAACAAATTTCACAAGGGGACCAACTCGAAGGATATAACTCGTAACCCCTCCTTACAGGGATGATTTCCGTATCGTAATTTGCGGCAGAATAATCGCCAGTCTTGGCAACTTCCGGGCAGCAGCCCAAGAAACATCACAGAAAGGGAGCAACGTGAAAGTTATAACTTGTAGCCATCCCCAGGAAACATATACATGTTTTATTTTAAAGAAAATGTGTAAGTTTGAAATCCATTTGGCACTTTGGTGATTGTAGTTGGCGCGATTGATCACGATACGGAAATATCCCAGTCCTGACTACTTCCTTGCAGCAGCCTGCAGGAAACTAATAAAAACATCAAAAGTGAGATCAAAGCAAAGGGTATAACTTGTAACCCCCCGACAAATCCCTACATGTTTATTTCAAAAAATTTGCAATCATTTGACGGCTGTAGTTAGTGCAATTCGGTATTCGGAAATATCCTATTAATATTAACGTATGTATGCATTATAATTGTATACAGTTTTATTTACTCTCTTTTCCGTGCAATGCTTTCACTGCTGACACTTTTTCGGATACTTGTTTGTTTCTGTGGGGCGTAAACCTGTTAACTCGTGGCCGCCTCTATTAGTATTTTAAGTCCTAATACCTACTTCTTAATATTAAGCATCTTTGGTATCAATAATGACATGGTGATCTATTTTTAATTTCTATTCCTCCCTAAGGAAGTACCCATATTTAGCTGCCAAGTTTTCAATTTTTCTTTTTGATTGGTTTATTTACTTGGGAGATTTCTAATCTACAAAATCAGAGAAAAATTAACAATTATAGTAGTTTTGCTACTTGTAGTGCACTACGTCCGACCACTATATTTAGGTAACATGCTGTATAACGTACCTTAAGTTAACTTGACACTCTTGGATCATAATTCTAAAGAGTAATATTCAAAACTTCTTGGTATGTTGTTAATTTCGTGGCCATTATTTTATCTTCTATTTTATTTTTTATCATTTTACTTCTGCCCATGGTACACTATATATATTTGTATTCCGAGTTCTACCTGAGAATTAAAAGGGGCAAGGTGCTTCCTCTCACTTACAGCCATAAAATTTATCAAAATATGTAACATTATGTTACAACTGAATTTGGTTATTAATTTTTAATTTACTCACTTATGCTATTTTACATGTATGTTTTACAAAGTAATTTACATTTAGTATCAAAGTAATCGAAAAATTTGAAGTTTTTGAAAAATAATTAAAAGTAAGCTAAAAGACAATCTCTGTGTATAAAATTTATTCTTAAGAAGTAAATAAAATAAAAAAGAATTAATTGATTAACAAAATTAAGGTTGTTTTTTTTATAATTTAAACTAAAAATTATGAGAAAATAAACATTTAAAAATGTTTTTTAAAAAAAATTAATGGCAAAGTTTAAAATCACTAAAAAATTCTTCAATGTACCCCAACTTTCAATGAAAGATGTGAATATCTCTTGTGCTGAATGTCATGCTAATTTTATCTAGACAACGTAAAAAAATCTTACTAAAATGAAGGAATGAAATTAAAGTTGAATAATTATCAATAATTGAATAAATCAGAAGTGAACTTTTCACTAAATCAGATGGTTAAAAAGCAAATTTTTTCTGAAAAAATAGAATAAAAAGGCAGTGTTTTTAAGAGTTTCTTCGTTAATTAATTAATTACAAAGTTTAAAATTAACTTAAATTTATTACTTCATTATTTAAACTTTAAAAATAAGCCAAGTTATTCTTTCAGATATGAACTTTCATGGTTTAAAATAATTTTCAGACTTTGGCTTTTGATGAGAGATTGATTTTTGATGATTAAAATATGTAAATTAAGACATTAAGGGGAAAAATCTATTTTGCTCCATTGATTTATGTTTAATTCCTTGCTTTTAGAGGGAATCAAAGATTGTAACAAAGATATAATTATTTTATGTACCTTCACATTCATGTTTGGTTTATTTTAAACTAGCATAAGCTTACAAAGCTCTGACTAATCCTCTGAAAAACAGTGTTTTTTAACAGCTTAAAGAAACTAATCTCTCAGTCTAGTCTGTCTTATCATGGATGCCACACAGGACTCTAATTTTCAGGGGAGTTAAAATTAAAATACACAGTCACAATTGTTCTCTAACATAAGAAAAAAAATTCATATGTTTGCTAAATATCTGCAAAAGATTCATTATTTTATCTCCTTATTTTTGACTTTGATGAATTTAAATCAGTAATTGTGTATGCAAATTTTGTTTAATTTTTTTTTAAATATTTTGGGGGACTTTAAGAGAATTCTAATTATTGAGGGAGATATATATATACCCTTTACCTCGACCAATCCATGTGTTTATTGCATGTTTTAGAACAAAATAAATTATCAAATTCACATTAAAGATTTTATATTTTCCGATTTGAATTAATAGAGTTTTGTTATGCAATATGAATACAATTCTATATACAGAAATTTTGTACTAAAATTTCTGTAAGCTAATTAATTTGTTATCGTATATATATGTTTGAATTTTCAGGGAAATGCTAAACATTCTAAAAAGCGGCGAATAATTGAATCAGGTAATAGTATTGTTTTGAAACTCTTTTTGTTGAATTTTTTTTTTATTTCCTTATAGTGCATTTTCATTTTATCTATATTATTATTCTTTTTTAATGTGTTACAGGGTTGGCAAGATTTTGCCGCAGGTGGAAAAAACCATGGTAAATACCGGTAAAAACTGTCCTGGCAAAAACAGGTTTTTGCCAAGCAAAGTGGCAAAAACCTATATTTTCCAAGATGAGAGGACAAAAACACATTTTTGATACAAAATTATTCCTAAAATTGAAATATATACTATGAATATAAATAATTACAAAAAAATTAACAAAACTATTATTCCATAATTAAATGATAATGTATCATTTTAGTAGTTTAAAACATTATTGATTGGAAAATTTGTGATTATTCTCTTTTTTCCAGTGAAATGAACTTATTTTAAATTAATACAAATATAATTTAAAGCATAAAATATCTATCAACATGTGTAGTTAATTATTGTACAAATAATAATTTTTTATAATAAATAATAGTATTATACAAATAATAATATTTAGTTGTAAAAAAACATTTATTTTAGGATTCTAAAATGAAAAGAGATCAAGAACTTTCAATCTTTTAAAAATTATTACCCTTAGGTATATTAATTATTAATATGTTAAAAATAATTTTTTCATGTAATGTATCAAAATTATTATTTCTTATGATTGATTTAAATTTGTTTCCAGTATTTTGTAATAATATTTAATCAGCAATTTAGATAATTTGGTTTTTGCCGGTTTTTACCAGGTTTTTGCCATTGTCTTGGCAAAAACTCCAACCCTGATATGTTATGATTATCTTTTTTAATAATTGTTGATGTTAGCCATACAAAGGTTTCTTGCTATAGTGGATACTCAAGATATATCTTGTTTTGACACTTACAGAAGCCCACATTAGTTTAATTCCATTGTAATTAATAAAAAGTTCGTAAATTTTGGACCAAAAATCCATTGTGTATAAAATAATAAGAAAGGTTTTCATCACATTAAGGAAGGAATGTGAACGTCATCACATTAAGGAAGGAATGTGAACGTCAAAAAAGCATTTATAATGAAAATAGTCTCTTGTTATTGCGGAATTATGAATACTGTTCTATGGTATCCTTAGAAAATAAATCAGAGAAGGGTTGTTACCATATTAATAAAATTTTCAAAATATGGGTGCTTAAATTATTCGCTAAAAAAAAAATTTTTTTTTCTTTGTTGTTTAATAAATTTATATATGGTTTATTCAAATTCAAAAGGAAAAGAAATATTGCTCTAAAACCACTTAAAAAATAATAGTGTTTACTTATTTTAATATATTGAAATGATATTTTTTATAAGGGTTAGGTCAAATGCAATATTTTACTATTACAATTTTTTTAATGAACATGGTGTAAATAAAGATTAGAAGAGTTTTTATATCTTGTGAAAGGGTAATAAAATGTTTTTACATATAAGGGCATGATAATATTTTTATCTTTGTGCAAAACATATCAACTACATTTTTAAATTTCATTTCTTAACATTTAAAAGACGCCTTATATAGATAAAAAATGTACAACTACTAACTCTACTAGTTAATATGTTTTTTCTGCTGTAAAAAATCACATTCTTAATATGAATTATGATGCAGTTTAGAAAAAGAAAGTGTTTTATTTATTTTAACTAATTACTTGTTACAAGTATTAACTTATGAATTTGTAACAAATTAATCGAAAATAACTATGTGAATGTAACTGTATTAGCATGAAGTTACAATTTCTTTAAAGTTAAAATTTAAATCAATTTCTTTAAATCAACTTAATTCCTTAATAAAAATGAAATAATTTCAAAATAATCCCTTAATTTCATTTTGTAAATAAAAATTTTTATGTATGTTTCAGACTCAGATGAAGAACCTATTCCTCAAAAAGAAAAAGCAAGTAAGTTTTACTACAATGCATTATAATTTTAATTATATTGTCTTCTACTTAATTTTTTCACACTTAATGCATTTTTAAAAATCAGGCTTTTAATATTTTTTTTTTTAACTTAGGTAATAAAAATAAAAGTCCCAAAGCTAGAGAAAATGGTAAAAATAGTTCTAAGCCTCCAAAAGCATCATTCAAAGAAGTTACGGCTTCAGACTTTTTTGGTTCTGAATCAGTTTCAACCACCAACAAGAAGACTAAATCTCCTAAAAAGGTAAAAAAAAACTTATGAATAGTGTTTCTCTTTTATTTTTTTCAAATTTCTGATTATAATCTTTAAATTGATAAATTTTACAGTGATATTAGCTTTTAAACTAACAATGTTAAATTAATCTTTAGAAAACAAATGATATTAGTCTTCACGAAGATGAAGAATTTGAAGCAACCCTCAAGCAGTTGAATAATGTAAAACCAATAAAGGTAAGCAAATTGCACAGAAGTAGAGTCTATGCTCTTCAGTACAACCCCACTATTACAGTGACTCTTCTATTATAAAAACTCATGCATAAAGTCCCCTTTGCTATTCCATAGATGCCAAGCTATTTGAATGTGCATGAGAACATTTGCACTGTACTGTTTATTCCAATGTAGGGCATGAAATTCAGTCTAAAAAAATTTTTAAACCATTATTTCGTTAGCTGTTACCACACAATAAATGTTAAACACCTTGAATTCCCTTTTGATAGAGAAAGAGTAACATGATTCTAAATAAATCCAAGTAGTGGTGATTTATGGTCATTCATAATCTGTGTAACTTTCTTTTCAAAGGAAACAACAGATTATTAATTACACTATTCTTGTTTTTTCTTTTTATTTCATAGTAGTCATTGAACAGTCAACACAATTTTGAGTTCTTGACTAACTCCATAGCCTTATAATTTTAAGCCCAATCCAGAAGACAAGGGAACTCCTGGAATAAGTATTCAGAAAAATTTGCCTTTGTGGAGGACTTTTCGCGTCACATAGTGAGAAAAACCACAAACACATCGAACGATTAGCCGGATGGCAAGGGCCCCATGATCCATCTACCACTGATTAATGTTTTATGTCAGCACTGTGATTGGTGCAAGCCAGGTGCAGAATTCGTATCAACCTGCCATAGCTGGAATTGAAACCTAGATCACCTCATTAGAAGGCAAGAGCTCTTTTTCCTGAGCCACTGCGACTCCACATTCTTGTTTAAAACTTGTATTTTCCTTATCTCTTTGTGATCCTTAATGTTTCATCTTCGCAGTTATCTTGGCATATGTTATTTAGAAAAAATGGTATTCTCGAACCAGCATATTATTTAAATGCATTTTTAACCCATGCGGTATTATTTTAAATGATGCTTTTAATGTGTTTATATTAATATAAAAATTTTATTTTTTCTAATTCTTCTTTTAGTTTTCAAATTCTTGTTAAAGAAAAACATTGATTTGTTATAATTTATCAAAAAATTTATTAACTATAAGTAAATATACGGTATTTTTTTGTACTCACTATATAACAACCTCACATCCAAACGTCCATTTTCGCTTGTGTCATGAGGGACATTATATTGAAAGTCGACTGTATTTCTTATATATGTGTTCTTGTTAGAAGAATAAAATTCATTTGCTATTGTGGCATTTTTTTGAAAAAATTTTAAATTTTTTGTTATGCTTCTGAAGAGTTTGTTGACAGTAAGCGCATTGTTGGTAAGTTGAATAATACAATTATCTAAATGTATAAACCTTTAAAATTCATGGATTGATAATGCTTTAAATCAGGCACTGGGGATTCAAATTTTGCGATGTAGCTTATAAGAAGATTATTCACTAAATTAAATTTCTAAATGTTTAATTCTTATTAAGTAAACTAAAGTTCAGTCATCTTCATTAAGCACTTAACTTGAAATTTTTGTATGCTTTTAAAAAAACAGGGGGCTTGTATCTGATGTTCAAATTATATGAACTTAACGCATGCAGTTCTGGAGTTATAAGCGAAACACACTCAAACAAACATAGTTTTCCTTTTATCATCATAGATATTATTTAAATTCGTATTTTATGCAAAAATTTATATTTATTTTATTTACCTTTTTTTTCATCTTTATAGAAAGATTCACAAGAAAAAAAGAAGCCTGATCCTGTTTCTGCCAAAAAAGACAATAAAAAAGGTATACTTTACGGTAAACGTTTCAAAATTCCAAACTTAAAATTAATTTATTTTTTATGAAATCATCTATGAGAAATTTGTCTCTGTAAATAAACTTTACCTGATATCATTAACAAAATAATAATAAAATGATAGATGATATTTTTTTTACTTTGAAGAAGTTATTCGAAACTATTTTTTCTTCTCTGCTTTCTACTTCTAACTTTTTTTATTTGAAGAAATTTCTAATTTAAAGCTGGAATTTTTTGGGGGGGAGCTTATAATTGTTTGATTAATACCGTAGTATTTAAAACATTCATTTTTGTTTCAGGTAAGTAATATGCAGTTCAGTATTGTGTGTTATTTTTCAAAAATTTTAATTATTTTTCAAAGGTTTTTGGTTTAAACTGGAAATTAAACTGCAAGAAGAAAAATTATTTTACTGTTACTAAGGAGTTTAGCTGCTTCTACCCTCATAAACTTAAACTCAAATTATAAGCTGCTCATTTAAAAAATTTAATTAATAAATTCTATTGATCTTATGCGATCTTCATTTTTGTGTTATTTCATTGTACAGTAGGGAACCGATTATCCGGAACGATCGGGACCATCGCTATTCGGGATAACCGATTTTTCCGGTTTTCTGAATCGCTACAAAAAGCCGTTTTTTTTACTGTTAAACCCAACTAAGAAAAAAATTTGGAAATAGTCTTAAAAAGAAGAAAAAACAATGAAGTAATACACTAATGATTATTTCCAAAATGATGGTTAGGTAAACATCTTTCAAAGTAGAAAGAAAAATCCTATGAGGGAAGAAAAATTTTTTTTTGAAAATGGCGGGAAAATTTATCGAATTTCGTTCCGGTTTTTTAGTTTTCTGATTTCTGGATAACGGATTCTGTACTGTAATATAAAAGTATAACATATGATAAAAACAATTTGTAAATCAAGTATCTTATTATTTTTTCCACCTCTTTATTTTGCATTTTCTTAAAAATTTAAGAATGTGTTCTCAGTTTAATTTCCTTTATTACTAATTTTTAATGAAAATAGTGCAATTTACTATTTTTCAGAGGTGTGCTAACTTTCCTAACTAGCTAACAGTACTTAGAAGTACAATAACACAGAAATATATACCGTTATCATTTATGAAATTCAACTTAGCACAATTTTAAGGTGTATTATGTAAGGTGTATTATATTATGTATTTTATGAAGGTATAAAATATTAATTAAATTATGCATACATTTCTATTGAATTAAAAAAAGGAAACATTTAGATAAAGGTACTAAATTAAAAATTACGTAACACTGAAACTTAATACTTCATCATAAAATGGTAAAATAAATTGAAAACTTGGAATTAATATTCTAATTTTTGGTTAAATTGGAATAAATCCTGTTACTTTTTTATCATCCTGCATTGAAACCACTAGTAATTTTTGTCACAGCACATTCGTTTGCTTTTCAATAAAAAGAAAAATTAAATTTCAAAATACTTTATTGGGAGAAGAAAAGATGAAATATCTGTTTTATTACTATTTATTTATTTATATCAAATCGTTTTTGCACTTTTATTGCTAGAATTGTTTAAGGCCTACTTAATGTTTGATTAAGGGCAAACAACAAAATTTCATTATCTTGGTAGTTAAAGAAAAAAAGCCTGTTTTAAAAGCATTTATAACGGGAATTCTCAAAAATTTTTATTTTTTTACTCAACCATAAGATCCTAATCTTGACTATGAAACTGTAATAATTACAAATAAATCATAATATGCAATTGGCATCTTTTAGTTTATCAATAGTTTACTTAATTATGAATTTTGTTTACGTACTTTTTCCCTACCTGTTCACTGTTTCAGATCTGCTGTTTTTAATCTATGTTTATTTTAGGAAATTCCTTGCCCACCAAAAGAAAGGCCAACTCTGTTACTTCCCCTAAAGTGGAAATTATCCCTAATCCTAAAGCTCCTCCTAAAAAAAAGATAATTATTGATAGTAAGGTAATGATTCATTGTTTTTAAATATTTATTTTTATGTCTTTGTTTCTTTAAGTTGTGTGATCTGTTCGTTTCTTAATTTATCAATGACCTTTTCAATGAAAAGTTTAATGTTTTTTTTTTATTCATTATGGAGTTCTTTTTTGAGTTTGAAATAAATAATATGTGTTCAATTTATTACTGTTAAAAAAAATGAATTGTAATTTGATAACATTAAACTGTTTTCTATTTTGTTTCAAATTTTATTTTTAAATGTTTTAGTTGTTTAAAGAGAGCTAAATAAATACATTCTAAACTACAATATAATTTAAACTATTATACATTTAAAACTGAAACACTATGTTTTCTAAATTTTTTATCTACAACTTTTCTTATATTTCCTAGCATTAAACCTATTTAATTTTTTTTTTGTTAATTTGTTTTACAAACCAAAGTTTAAATTTTTATGTTATGTTATTTATTCATATATATATATATATATTATTATTATCTATTACATATTTTGCGAAATTCCTCAAAAAATAGTTTCTAATGATTCTTTTTTATGTCTGTCAAAAATATTATTGTAAAATTAAATTTTTCACAAAAATAATTAATTGCTATTAATTTGCAAACCACGCTCATTTAAGTGGGGGAGGTGTTTCACTTCAAATACTGGTAGCATAATGTGCTAAATACTACTTTTTAAATTTTGAATGTTTTTATAAAATTATTTCTTTTCTTGATAAGGATGAAAAACCAGCTGCTAAAAAACCTAGAAATAGTGGTGCTGCTAATTATGCAAGTTATCTTAACCGTGAAGGTCCTAAAGCGCTGGGATCTAAAGAAATTCCCGAGGTATTATCACATTCTCTAATAGCATTTAGTTTAAATATATGTGTTAATGCATTCTTAATTTTAGTTATCAATAAGGCGTAGTCTAGTAAATTGTTAATTGGTTTTTTAATACTTCTCTTATATGTTTGTTAATTTATATTTTGTATCCTGGTTCTTATAAAAATCCATGAAATTACTGCGACCATGACGATTTTATTGTAAGATAATATTTGTTAAAGCAGGAAATGAACAAGAAAATATAAGTTGTAGGACAATTGAATATAACCATTTAACAACTAAGCTAACATCTAATAAGTGATGAAAATACTACTAGATAAATTTAACTGCAAATTAACTTCATTTTACTGTGCGATGTGTGTTGTGTGATTCACAAATGAAAATTATTGCATCAAGCAATTTGCTAACTTACCACAGATTTTCTATAATTTCTATTGTTTTTAGCTCCACTATAGGATTAGGAAAAGTTGTGAACTACAGAAAAGTCTGATACACTCCGCTATCTTCTATTTGTTTTTCCTCTTTTTAGTCTTTTACTTACTGGTGCAATTTTTTTTTTATTTAAGGTTTCAAATTACTTTTATTAAATATTTTTTTTTTAATTTGCTGACAACCCTCATTTTGCAGTAAACAGATGAACATATTTATTTGTTTAATAATTAAATTTTATTATTCTCCCATTGCTTTGTTATCTCTGATTCTTTCAGCCATGTGATTCTTCCACTAATTCACAAAATCCCGCAAATCTCAAACCCATTGGCTCGTGGATTTCCATTCGCAGATCAATAATTTATATTTCAGCAAAATTTTATCAAAAATTCGTTAACCTTATTTCCTTACCTATGCAAAATTTAGTTAGCGTAACATTTATTTCGCCCTTACCGGCGCTTTCTTTTTTTTCTTGATTAGATTCATTCATGTACCATAAAAATTTTTTTACCCTGATTTCTTGGAGATGATACAGGATAAAGAAAGTTTAATAACTTTGGCTAGAATCAATGAACTACAAGCTTAAAGTTTACAATCTAAAAAGTAATTCAGAAATAGAAAACATTAGTTTGAAAAAAATTTGGGTGTTTTTTTTTAAACTTATATTTTAATGAGTAGCAATTTTGATTCGTAACAGAAGAGTTATTTAATCAATTTGATATATTTATCATCTTTTTTATTTAGCAACAATCAGATCAAACTGATTTTTGATATGTTACGACATGAAATTTTCTAATCATGCATTTCAATAATTTCTTTTCAACGCTTCCGATATCTTCGTAAATCCGCGTTCCCATCTTTCTTTTTTTTTTCTCTTCCATCTTTTGCAATTGATACAATTTATTTTCTCATGGTTTTTTAAATTTTGATATTATTACTGTTGAAAAATATAAAGTCCAGAGTGTAAACACATAAATGAGCAGTGTTTTCCAATGTGTTGTGTCACTTCCTGGAGGAAGATGTGTCACTTCCTACTATGTCACTTCCTGCTGTGTCACAGCTTGAAGGAATTTGGTGTTTATAGTTATAGTTAGTTATGTTCTCCTCTTGGTGGAGTGATGTATAGCTTGTTAAGTGTAGTTTTTGTCTTTGTTATCATTTTATCTGTTTTTCAGTAAACTTAATCTTTAAAATGGCTATGCAGCCTTTCTGTGAGTTGAATGCTTTATTTTAATAGTTTAAAAGATGTCTGCTACTGAACAAGTTTGATTTGTTTCTACAAGAATTGCGAGACACGAAATTTGATTCACGCATTTGAGTTATAATTTTTTGATGCCCTCAATTTGCGTTGAAACCATTGTTAATCAAAGTGATGTTTCGATTGTTTTATCGGCTATTGGAAAAATTTAACTTATGGATTATCTGTTAAATGTTAAATTTTTCCTCTTAATTATTAAAGCTGAAAAGCATTTAACTTAGAATATGATGCTTATTTTTATTATTGTTATTATTTTAAAATTTCCAATACTTTGAGGGAGCTGAAGGTAGTCTTGCTAGATTAACTTTCATTATTACTGGTGTATTGAAATCAGTTGAACGTGATTATTTGAAGGTTTTCTTATCTGTGATTCATAGCTTTTGTATAATTAAATTTTAACCCATATCTTATTGTTTGAAAAGATTTAACTTACGGATTATCAAATAAATATTCCGTTTTTTTTCTTTTAAGAAATTCAAAAGCTTTTAGCTGAGTATATGTTTGTTTTTTTAAAAGCTTTCAATTTTTTTAAAGAAGCTGAAGGTTGTTTTGCCAGATTAACTTCTAATATTACTGGTGTGTTGGAATCAATTAAACATGATCAATGAAATATTTTATTATCTCTGATTTTTAGCCTTTATATAATCTTAAAGCATATTTTATTTTTTCAAAAATGTTCCCTACAGATTATCAGTTAAATATTCAATTTTTCTTTTTAAATAGTAAAAATTAAAAAACTTATCGAAAAAATTGAAAAATTTTTAGCTTAGTGTTTTTTTTTTTTTTTTTTTTTTTTTTTTTTTTTTTTTTTNTTTTTTTTTTGTTTTTTTTTAACTTTTGATACTAGGGAGCTGAAGGTTGTCTTGCTGGATTAACTTTCATTATTACTGGTGTATTAGAGTCAATTGAACGTGATGAAGGAAAAGCTCTTGTTGAAAAGTATGGAGGAAAAGTTATGACAACTATTACCAAAAATACGAAATACATTATAATAGGTAGAGATGCTGGGGCTAGCAAACTAGAAAAGGTAAGCATTCATTCAAACAATAATTCAACTTTATTATACATAATTTTAGGTAGTGCCTTGATTTTTACATTTGCATTTTTTGACATTTTTTCTCCGATAGGGCGTTTTTAAGCATTTAGAGTATTTCTTTTTTTTTTTCTATTATTATTATTTCTTTTATTTGAACTTATTTTTATTACATTAAATCTTAAAGCAAGAATAAAATGTTCAGGAGTCAGTTTATTTTCCTTTTTTTATTAGTCCTATTGCATTTATTTCAAACTTTAATGAACGTGAACATATATTGCAATGTTTTAAGTATTTTAATATGAATGAGCATAATTTTAAAGAGAAACACATTGTTTTAATGTTTTTACTAAGAAATAAGGCATTTATTAAGGGCACTTTTATGAAATTTTAAGGGCATCAAAATCTGAGCTTTACTTTAGTATGTATCTTTTTTAAATTATTTTTTTACAAAAAAATTTTATTAATTAGTATAAGTCTATTTGTTAATAAACTTTTGTGTTTCATATTTCAAGGCAGAAAAATTTGGTACGATACAGCTTGATGAAGATGGACTTCTTGATTTAATTCGAACTCGTCCTGGAAAAGATGGAGTGGTTGCATCAAAATCTGTTAAAAAAGAAAAATTAGAAAAAGCCAGCGCATCATCAACTGAAAATTCTGATGTGCCTAAAGATTCATTAGAGGCATCATTCCTTGAAGATGATGACGATATGGATTTATTTGATGAGTCACCACTTATTGAAACCAAAGAGGCTGTAAATAAAATTGTGAAAAAAGACAATTCTGTGGAAGAACTTCCTGAACCCAAGAAAGTATGCTATTTTTTTGATACCTTCATGTAATGACTACCTTTAATATATATTTTTAATGTACATCTGCAGAGTTAAAAATAATATGAAAAAGTATGCACATTACAGGAGTTAAATCAATATTTAAATAAGAAAAAAGCAAAAATACTTTTAAAATTTGTCAAATTAATGAGAGAGGTGAGATGATTATCTGATGAAACTCTGAAATGTGTGTTATAATTGCTTTTCAATTATTTTCTGATTTCTCGGCCACAGCAAGTTTTGATCTTACTGCAGTAGAAATTGGTTATATTTTATAGTGTTTTTCTTTTAAGTATTAATTTGCAACCTGTAATATTTGTTTTGATTATTTTAATGAGGTGACTTTTATTAAACACTCTGTGTAATAAATAAACATATATATGTATGTATATATATGGTTTATATCTGCAATAAAAATTTAAAGGTTGAATAGCACACCACCTAGGTATTCATTTAGTAGTCCAAAAACTTAATATGGTAGAGACAAACTTGAAGAAAAAAATCTAATATACCAATTACATAATTCATGTTATGGTGAACAACAAAAATTATTAATTATCATCTCTAACACATTAAAACTAGGGTTTGTTATCCTATAATGATTGAAGATTAGTATTTATTAAAATTAAGTGAAAAGAGCTGAAATAATGTTGGTAAATATATTGAACATACAGATTAAAATGCTGAAACCAAATAAATAAAGGAAGTAAGAAGTTACAAAATATTATATGAAAAATTAATTATCTAAAAATTGTAAATAAAGTCAATTCTAAAAGAGCAAAAAATATTGTTTTATAGTTAAATAATTATGTTGTCAGTACTCGAATATAAAGCTCAGAATAACATGTAAATTTGAACATCTAAATTTTTTTGTACCAGACACTTTTATTTATTCCATTTGAAAAAATTTGAAGCTTAAAAATAACAAATTTGTAAGTAATTTGGAGAATTACATTTAAATAAATCATAAACCTTTAACAAAATAGGAACTCGTTTTAAATAATCTGCAAACAAATGTCTACTCTTTTCATTTCAAAGCTGCCTTTTCACATGGAAAAACTAAAAGATCTGGTCCTTCTACACAAAATTTGATAAGGCAGTCGATGGTTTTATTAGATAACCTATTTTTTAATTTTGTTTTTATTCTGTTTTATTTAACTGAAAAGGCTCTTATGCATAATTAAAATTCAAAAAATATATTAATATTATCGCTCATAAATGCTGACCACAAAGCATTTAGTGTTTCTAGTACAACATTTAAAAGTAATATGAAGCCAATTTTGTTTCCTTTTTTCAGTTTTCTTTAAGAGGCTCACTGCAACACAATCAGAATCATTTTCTGAAATATATTCCAAAGTCATTAAAAGATCTTTATATGACTTAAAAAGTTTTTTTTAGAAAGTTTTTTGTTCTTTACACTGTCATTAATAACTAAATTATGTCTGAGTAACACAGTGAATAGTAAACAATCTTAGATTTGGTTAATATTTTGAGAAATGCGGCAACTTTAAGCTCAGAAATTATATTACTTATTTATTTTATTGAAAGTATAACATATTTTATCTGTTAGCTTAAACTAATAATTTTTCTGTCTAAAAATATTGTCTCACTCAATAAGATTTAGTAAGCAGCTGCATGCTGTCTTACCAGTACCAGGGAAAGTAAGGAGCTTGTGATCTGTTTTTGTTTACATTCATATTGAAAACACCATCCATTCGCAACCTAGAACCTACAGATAGAACAATAAAATTAGATTAATAAATTTTTTTATGCATTAAATGGGATGCAAAAAACTACTCATCATTACTATTTAATAAATTTTAAACATATCTCAAAGCAATAAATTTGTCTCCTATGGATATGATTTGAGAGGCATTAGTGTAACATTTGGCAAATTTTTAGAATTTCTGAATATTATTTTTCATCACAGATTTAATAAAAACTAATAATCTCAGCTCTTGAAGATTATTTTTTTATCTCAGATTTAGAAAATAACCCTAAAATATTACTAACAAATCAATTTGTTTTTGGTTCTTAACATAATTCATTTGCCTATCTGCAGATACATAAGTGAAAAAGAAAGTTATAATCCAAATAATGTTCTTTAATTGACTAAAATTTCAGATCTTAAAAATGCTAATTATGTACAAAAGATAAATTTAGTCTAATTTTTGCAATAATATCCTCTTTTTGACACTGTTATGGTTGCACACAAATTTGAATCCATGAAGATTGTGCTGCAGATTGCGTCTGTAAATTCTGCTATTGGGTATATATTACAGATTTTGTTTTATGACTCAATATAAGTGTTACATTTAATCCCTTAAGGTCTATAACTTTTTGTCAACCCATGTTATTTTTTAAAAGTTTTTTTTTATTTGATTGTTACTAATAATTATGTTTTTGAACTAGTAAACCATCTTTGTTTCTCAAATTCGTCTTTTGCATTTAGTATATACCTTTCCTCTTTTTTCTATGAAAAAAAGTATGTTTGCTACATTTAAGTTAATTGGAAGCATTATCTTTCATATATTCTTAATGTTTTCCAAGAACTGACTTTTTTTAATTTTATTTTTAGTAGATGAGCTGAATGTTTTGTGTAAGCTTCATATTAAGTATAGATATTATTTGAAACTTAATAGGTTTTATAATTTTTATAATAGTAAATTATTTACTTTATATAAAGGCAAAATTGCAAATTTAAATCAGACTGAAGTGTCTTTCTTCTGTTGCGTTGGAAAAAAAAAAAAACTAAATTAAGTCCTTGTATAATTTTTTTTTTCCTTTGAAAACTAAATTGAGTCCTTATATGATTTTTTTTTTTTTTGACAAAATGTTTAGATGATAAATAATGCTTATTGAAAGTTATTAACTGCAGTTACTAGGAACATTATTAATTTAAGAATAGATAAATTTTTTGCTTTTTGGCTTATATTTATTATGATGTGATATTATTTCCTATTTATCAAAGTTTGACCTTAAAGTATACCATAGAATGAAATTTTTCAATAAAATGCTCTGAGGAGATTCTAATTCTGTTGTTCTTTCAGATTTGAATAGCAATGTTCTTCTCACTCTGTATAGCTTTTTTTCTTATTAACTAAAAAATTTTTTTTTTATTGATGAAAAAAATAAAGTTAAAATAAATTTCTTGAAACGAAATAGAATATAGAACTTCAATAGTATATTAAACAAAATTGCCTCAGTAATTTATTAGTAGAAATGATAATAAGTGGGTGAAATAATTTATATTGTCTTATTAGTTGGTTATTATTATTATTGGTTTTTAAATGTAATATGTCTTTATCACATTTAAGATGGCATGTAAGCATATTAATTATTCATTTGAATGATGTTTCCTCTACAGCTAAAACATCACTAAGAAACAAGATTGATATGCTTATGTGTCATCTCCCATTTAATTCAGAACATACTTAATCAGATAACAGCTTCCTTATCATTTTGTGTTTGTTTTTCATTTCACTTCTCATTATTTTTTCTAACAGCGTTTTCTATTTTTATTTCAGAGCTGATATAGATTTTAAAAAAAGAATTTTTTCTATTTTTAGAAAAATGTAGTACCAGAAAAAAAGGAAATTGATGCTGATATGAAAAACACAATAGTAAAATCTGATAGTCCTTTATCTTTATCAATGTGGGTAGATAAATACAAGCCTTCTAACATTAAGCAGGTAATAGGTCAGCAAGGAGATAAAAGCAATGCTAAGAAACTCTTGCATTGGTTAGTCAATTGGAGAAAAAATAGGAGATTAAACAAAAAAGCAATACCAGGTAATAGAAGAAATTGTTTTTCTCTAGTTTTCTTTATTATTATTTTTTAGTTTGTTTAGATTTAAATTAAAACATTAACTTTTATTTGCTAATTGACATATTAACTTTATTTAGACAAGATGCGAGTTGATATAAATTTGTTAGCAAAAAATTATTATCTTGTAATGTATTTTGTATTTTGCTTATTTATGGAATGACTTTTGAAACAATTCTTTGTCTGAAATACTTATCTAAACAGTTCATTAATGCCTAGACATTTACAGTTATTGCACTCATATGAAATTAGATTAAATTAATTCAAAATGTTTGTAATAAAAATGATTAATTTGTTTTTAAAAAATTATAAATTATATATATCTTATATATTTTGCAGTACATATATTTTTTAAAAAAAATTTTTATTGTATATTCTTTGCTGAAAACTTAATATTGTTGCTATAATAGGCCAGCAATGCTATTTATAAAGTTTTTCTTTTTCAAGTTTAAAAATACTTTTGAATTTTTTTTTTTCATTCCACTTATATTTTTAGCTGTGAAATTATCATAACTCACATGTGAAAGGTTCGATCTACAGTTAAGACCCTTTTTAACTGATAGTAATTAGCCTAACTTCGTAGGGTCAAGCTTCTTTACCACTGCAATCGGTTCATTGATTGGCTGTTCGACAGCAAGAGTTCGTTGATAATTTTTTTATATGCATATATATTGTTTCACCTTTAGGTGTTCTGCGGAAAATTTCAAATTACTCTGAAAGGTGTGGACAAAAAATTTTTCTTACAAGCATTACAAGGGGGGGGGGAATATTATACCCCATTGCAAGATACGAAAAGACCATTGCGGTATAGGATTTAAGAAATCATCCCCAACTGCATATAGTTCTGTTTTATTTCATAATCAAATTAAACAAATATGCTTTCAAAGCAATCTAAAAGTTTTTAAAAGTTAAACAGGTTAGCCAGAAATTTTATTTATGCTACCTTTCACAATAAATATTATTGATTTATTAAAAAAAAAAGGTTATAGTTTTGTCGTCTTACTTAAATCCTGGACTTAGTGACATATTTTGATAAATAAGGAGAACATTAGTTCTTGAAAAATGAACAACTATATGATGTTGCAAGAATTACATAGATTGAATTTGATTGAAATTTTATTTATGCTACTTTTCACAATAAATATTATTGATTTATTTTAAAAAAAAAGGTTATAGTTTTGTAGTCTTACTTAAATCCTGGACTTAGTGACATATTTTGATAAATAAGGAGAACATTAGTTCTTGAAAAAAGAACAACTATTTGATGTTGCAAGAATTACATAGATTGAATTTGATTGGACCATTAAAAATGGAGCATCTTATGCTGACATTTTCTTAACAAATAAAATGGGATATAAGGAATTTTTTCCTTTGTTTCTTTCTAGATGAAAATCATGTGCAGGAGACAATATGTGTAATTATTCATCAATTTAGTTATGTGAACCGAAAGACGCATATTTGTTGCAATTTTTAGATATAATTTTTATTAACTGATTATTGTTGTTAATAGCTGTTATTAATTAAGAATGTAAGCAAAAAGGAGGTTATGCAATGTCATTTCAAGAGTTGGTGATATTAATATACATTTGCTCTGTGAGCTTGGCATCCGTTGGTGAATCCTTTCCAAACAAGCTTTCTCCATGAGGAAAATGTTTTTTTTTTTTTTATGGTTCCCAGGAAGAATTAAATTAGNTTTTTTTTTTTTTTTAACTTGAAACAGAGTATTGTTTTCTGGGATTGTTTTGAATATTTTAACTAACTCCTAAATTTTTACAAAGATTTCTTTTGTATATCTTCTTATGTAATGATAAAAGAGAAACCATCATATAGTGCTGTAAAGCACATGAGTTAAAAGATCAGATCTTTTATTTATTTTATCTGTGTTTCTAATTAATATCTAATACTTTATTTACTGAGCTTTTTAAAACAATTTCTTACTAATTGTCATATATTGTTTATCATTTTCCTTTATAGTTTCAAATTTTAATTAAATAAATGTCTATAGTTTCTTTTTAAAATTATTGTTTTCATAACTTTTTTCTAAGGCCGTTTCAATGCTAATGATGATGGCTCTGGTTTCAAAGCTGCACTGCTCTCTGGTCCTCCTGGTGTGGGCAAAACAACAACAGCTCAGTTGGTGTGCAAAGTATGTCTTTAAGGCAATCAGACTATAATTTATTTTTTTTAAAAAATAAGAAAAAGTGAATGTAAGTTAATTCATTATAGGAATCTGGTTATGATTTCTTTGAACTCAATGCTTCGGATACTCGATCAAAGAAAACCTTGCAGCAAATGGTTTCTCAGTTGTTAGGCAATCAAACTTTGGCGGATTGTTTTAAAGGTAAGATAATATTCAATATACTTCTATAAAGATCAATAAAAAATGAACTTAAAAAGTGTTATTTACTTCCACTGCAGATTTTTCATAATAAATCATTAGTGAGCATATTCTATTTTAAGTGCTTAATAGCTGCTTATTCTTTGCAGAAAGAATTGAATATGCACCCTATTTTATTTTTAATAAACTTTTTTTTAATTCATATAATGGCTTGCTTATATTTGTTCAGTACTTAGAATCTAACTTCTTTGAAAATTTCTGATTTTTGCAGTTCATTAAAGGCTCTTTTACTGTTAAAAAATTATTTAAAAAAATATCAATCATTTCATTGTAAATTTTTAATAGTACAAAGAAAAAAAAATTTATTTTTTTTCTTACCTCAGAAATTGTTTTACAATTACGGAAAAACATTAGCATCCTTTATGCTAAAATCCTTTTTTTTAAGTGTACATAATGGATTTTCTTTGCTTTAGACTTTAATTAAATTTACCCACATTATGTGCTTTTAATTAGATGATGCTGGTAAAGTTTCAAGCAATCATGTAATTATTATGGATGAAGTCGATGGGATGGCTGGAAATGAAGATAGAGGCGGAATGATGGTACGTGAGTTTCATTTTTTTGATTTAATCGCTTGATAATTGAATTTTTGCTGACTTTTAAATGGTCTCATGATATTGCCATATACTGCAGTTGGTGTGGTGGATTAACTGCTTCCAATTTTTTTGAAAAAAGAAATGCAAAAAATCAACATATTTTTTTTAAATTTCATTAATAAATGTAAGGAACTAAAACAAAACGTAATACACAAGTTTTAAGCTGAAATTTATATTTTTTTATGTTTAAAAAGCATTTAATTTACCATTAATTAAGTCAGTTTACCATCCTTAGTTATCTCGGGCAAATGTAAAAATTTAAAGATGCACCTTTTTTTTTACTCTTTTTTTTTATGTAAATTCAACAACCATCGTATATGTGATCGCATAAAGCACATGTGCAGTCCCGCAATCCAACTACAAAACTTGACAAACTTCCAAGCAGATTCTTTTTTTTTTTTTTGTACTTCCGACCAAGTAAAAACGTGATAAAAGAACACGTGCTGACAAATTCTACTACATCCGAGTTTTCTCAGTATAATAAATACTTGCGATATATACCCAAGTTAACTGAAAATAATCAGGGAATTAGTTAAGTCTCCACAGTTTGAAATTTTCTCTAATATGATCCAGTTTCAGATTGGTTAAGGACTGACTGAATTATGAAAATATCTTTACAGTCAACCTCTTTTTTTTTTTTTTTTAAATCTTTTAAAGTCTTTGTTTAATAAATTTTTAATATGAATTTTCAATTTTTTGTAGCAACATCAGAAATGATTTTACTTTTAAATGTGAATATTTTCTTTAATTACTATTTTCATAAAATATTTTAGTATGTGTGTGCTTTTATTTTCATATTTTGTATTTTTTGCTTGACATATTTTTTTTTTTTTAATGTGCTTTTCACACTATTGAATTTATATATTTTACTTTGGATGTCATGATGCAATATTAGAAAGCACTTTATTTTGCAGATATAATCATGTGAGCTGATGACGAGATTATATCTTTTATTTTATTTTTCAGCTTTGTTTTTTTTTTCGTTTTATATATTTATTTTTTTTAAATCATTTATTCATAATTTTTCTTCTCTTTAAAAATATTTTTCCTTGTTTTTTTCTCTTGTTAAAAAGCTATATATATATATATGTGTGTATATATATAGCTTTTTAACTACCCAGGTAATACAACAACTTTAAAAACATTTCAAAAACTTATATGGATAGCAGACATGCTTAGAATTGCTCCAAAAAAATAATAAAGTTTTTTTTTTTCGTATATAATTTTTCTAGTATACTTCCTAACTGACGAATTAAAATTTACATACTCAAGAGCATATATAGTTTTATTACCTAATTCTAAAAAGTAAATTGACATTGTGCTTATAATTTTTTAAGTGAATATTTTGTTGTTACAGGAACTGATTGGTTTCATTAAAGCATCTAAAGTTCCTATTATTTGTATCTGCAATGACAGAAATCATACGAAAATCAGGTCGCTAAGTAACCATTGTTTTGATTTAAGATTCCAAAGGCCAAGGGTTGAGCAAATCAAGGTAATGTATCATTATTTACTTTGCCAGTATCTGTTTCTATATAATTTTAATTTACCATTTTAGAAAAAATTACTTCATGTTATAAAATAAAATTTTAAAAAATTGGCATCTACTAACATTAGGGTGAAAGTTGAGTAGTTTAAAAAAGTTACCATTCTTGTTTTTATAGCTATATGTTTCAGAATGTCTCATAATGCCATCAATTATATTTTCATAAAGTTTATTTGTTAGCTGAGAACCCAACAAAGCTTGGCAATAGTTACCAAGTTTTATCATCCATGCATCAGCTGGTTATTTGTTTGACCTTTGTAGTATTTTTATTTATGCTTGCTACGTTTATAAGAAAAATGAAGCATATGGTGAAAACATATTGACGTTAACATTTAGATTTTCAAATTATAATTAAAAAAACTATCCTTTGTTATCATTGGATGGATAGTTGTAATGATCCTTTTTAACAGTTTCAAAGCTAGGTGACCATTTTGTCAATGAGATTTTAATTCAGTACCCAGCTGAGAAATAATTAGCTATTACTCTTTGTGCAATATTACAATTATTTATTCATTAAATCTAATTAATTATTATTTTGAATTTTCTTTATTTGTTGATAATTTCTGGGCAGTTATATTTTTCTTTATGTTGCTGTAATTTCAATGGATTTTCTAAGTTTAAAATTTTGGATCTTAAATTTATCTCTGAAAATGAATCGTGTAGGTTTGATTTCTTATTTAGGATTAATATGCTTTTTATTTTGCCTGCTTATTTGCTCTTCAGTTGGTATCGTCCTTTTAAAAAGTAACCTGTCTCACTGTACATTCTATGTAATTTAGTTCCTTAAGCTCCTCTCTTAATTTTTATTCAAACTAATTGACACCAAATAACCACCTTAATTTTAAAAACAAAACTATACAGCAGTACCATTCATATTAATGTTATGAGTTATGTATGCTAAAAATAAAAAATAAAATACATGCAAAACATGTTTTATTCCTTTCCAATAAATGATTGGTTTAGTATACATTAAAAACTTTGATCCAGTGCTACATTATTTATTTATTTTATATTATTAACTTAATACAGTGTTTATTTTAAACTTTTCTAATTGTGAAAATTTATTTAAATATTTATTGAGTATGTTTTGTTAGCACTAGTTTCATAAATTTTATTAAATTATGACTTAAATAGAGTTTATTCGTGTACAATATTTCTAAGAAGGTATCACAACATTGTCTGTTTTAGGCTGCCATGATGTCAATAGCTTTTAAAGAACATATAAAAGTATCTCCTGAAGCTCTTCAAGATGTTATAGTGGCTTCAAATCAAGATGTGCGCCAGGTAAATTAATATATCAATTATATTTATTAATTATTATTTTTTATTATATTTATTAATTATTATTTTTTATTATATTTATTAATTATTATTTTTTATTATCTTCTGCCATAATATTTCTCCAAATTTTCTTAATAGATTTTCAACATTTTTTTTTTTTTGTTTTAGGTCCTACACAATATGTCAATGTGGAGTGCAAAATCGAAAGGTTTAACTTCTGAACAAACAAAAGCAGATATTGGGCGTGGAACGAAACACATAAAAATGGTACAAAAAAAAAGCTTTTTTTTTTCTTTTAACTGTACATTTATGTAAAGTTTGAAAGATATACAACAGGGATGCATAGCCTTTTTTTTTATTGTCTACCACGAAAATTAAAAAATCCTCATTGTTTAGTTTTTGTTGCTAAAAAAGAATTTTGGGAGCCAAGATAAGTAAGGTAAAATTGTAAAAACGTAAGGTTTATTTAAATCCTTATTATTGGTGGCAGGTATGTACTAAGTAAAGTGTAAAATTTGTAAGAAATTGCATTTCCTTGCAAACAATGAACTTTTGACCATAAAAAACCATATTGTGCAAACAAATTCAAGCTTACTTTTAAATATGTTAAAAATATAATATTCTTTTTTCATTTTTTAATTCATTGTTCTTAATTCATTTTTTTAAACAAAAAAAATTCCCTTTTTTTTTCCTATTAAAATTAAAAATTAGCAGGGTTTAAGTATTGAACTTTGAAAACCAGTTTTTACTCATGAGGACATAGGTTGTACATCCCTGATATATATATATATTTCTTTTACAAAATTTAGCATGTTTTGTAATTTTGTTTTATATTATGTTTTCAAGATACAAACAAAACTGCTTATTGTACCAAAATTCTTTTTGTCTTTTTATTGAACAAGGAGTGATGCAGAAATTGTTGTAGAATACTTAGACAATGTGTATATTTCTGAATGAATATTATAACAAAACCAGCAAAAAAAAAAATTTAATAAGTTTTGGAGTGTTCAATATAATTTTTACTCCTGTATTAAAAATTTTTAATGTTTTAAAGACATTTATCCATACATTTTTGCTATTAAAAAACTACCCTTATGAATGAACTAGATTTATCATTTTATAATTATTCTCTGTCTCTATCACTATTTGTTAAAAAAAAGGGGGGCATTGTTTTCTCTAGTACAATGTGGCAAATTGCCTCAGTTTTGTAAATTTTCTCTTATTTTGTCATTTATGTGTATTATTAAGCCACTTTTTCTAATTGATTTTTGAACTGTGTTCTTTAAAATGTGAGTTAAATGTAAAAATAGAATCATATTCTTTTGCTGTATTTTTGTTGTTGCATAGCAGGTGTTCAGCAAATGAAAATATTTTTCATAATATGTCTTCCTCTTACAGTTACAATTAGGGAAAAGTTCGATCTTATCTCTGCATAATTAATGTAACGAAATTTTATAATAGTTCAATTCTCACTAATGGCTGTATTTGTGTCTTTAAACCTTTCTACAACAATCAAAATGAAAGTTTTTTTTTTTTAATTTAAAGTTTTTTTTTTAATTTTAATGTTTTATATATTCATTGAATTATTTCTTTTAGGGCCCTTTTGATGTATTAAGAGAAGTTTTTGCAATTGGCAACAATCCAAAGGCTACTATTATGGATAAATCAGATTTATTCTTCCATGATTATTCTTTGTCTCCATTATTTGTACAAGAAAATTATGTCCATGTCATTCCTACTGAAGCTCAGTATGTCTTCTTAATATGTGAATTAATTTTGTCTATATTTTGAAATGTTAAATCATTTGTTTCAGTGGTTAAAGAGGTAACAAACTACTTCAAAGTGCTAGTTTTAATTATTATCTGACAAGTGAAGAGTAAAAACATACCCTTTCTATCAATTCTATTGCTCCATGGAAATTTTATAAGCTAACCCAGTAAAAGCTCTTTCAATCTTAGTGTGTAGCATCATTACCATCGGCCTAAATTTTTCTGTTGTCTTTAACGGCATCCTGATGAACCTCAAATCATTTTATGCAGGATGTCTCATCTCCAGGGTTGCAAACATAAAGGAGTAACAGAATGTGATAATGTAGAATATGATGAATCTTTTTTGCATTAGAACATAGGTTTAAGAAATGCAGAAGGTCTAAAGAGGACATTTTGATGGTAAATTAAAGAAAACGGTAAAGTAAAATGTACACTTATATCTTTAACATTGCCTATAAACATAATTTTTTATGTTAGAGCAGACTTTCTGCAACCGAACTTAACTGTCAAAGGGGGGGGGTGAATGCAATAGGAAAATTCTAAGTATACTTTTAATCCTCTTTACTTAATTTTCACAACTAACTGATGATGGGTATTTACTTTATTGGGCAGTATTTTTCGATGCCTGTAAAATACAGGACCATCACCTAATATGAACTTGAGATACTAATCCTGCAGTAATTGAGATTCTCCTTAGTTTTTCTGACAAAATTATATCAATATGGTTTTGCCTTCAGTAGTTTTTGAAACATATTTAATTTAAATGTATACATTTGTCTGTTTTTAATTTTGACTAATAGCTTTGTTTTTGTACAATTTACGTGATAAATATCATATAAATCAGTTTTCATCATTATAAACTATAATGAAATTAAATTCTAAAAATTGACAAATGTGCTGTTTTAAATTACTGATTCAAAACAACAAATCGCAATTTTTTTTAATTTGAAATCTTAAGGAAATTTCATAAAAGTTCTGAAACTTATCGAGCTCTAGTTCTCCTAATCGAATAAAATGATTCCTCTATTTTTAACCTTTTTTGAAAAATATTGTGCTGCCAAATAATTATTATATTATCAAAAGTTTAAATACACAAAAACATCAAGAAATCAAAAATTTTGCCTTGTGGCCAAGGTGGTGTGGTTAAGGCCTCTTAAAAGCAAAGTTTGAAGTGTGAATTGTATTAAAATGTGAAATGTATTAAAAAAATACTGAAAAGAAAAATTTCAAAAGCCATAATTTTTAAACTGTATTCGTAATCTTGTAATTAGTTTGCTCGAAATTTTGCATTGTACCATAAAATATCATATCAGTGGACATGCTAAAAAATAAATAAAAAAATCACTACCCGTATTGTAAACTTCAATATCCATCAAAGAGTATCTGAATTTACTGTTAAAGAGTACCCTTTAGCTGTTGCACTGAGCATTTGAGTCATGTATTGAGTCCTCCTCCACTTCTATGGCAATAAGTGTTTGAGTTTATTTCATCATGTTCTATTGTGTACTTAAGGTTTGTCACCCTACTGTTGAAACACCTTGTACAGGGGTTAAAAAATACCATCCCTCCTTCAACATACAAGAAATCATTTTTTTTTTTAAANATGGCAATAAGTGTTGGAGTTTATTTCATCATGTTCTATTGTGTACTTAAGGTTTGTCACCCTACTGTTGAAACCCCTTGTACAGGGATTAAAAAAAAAACATCCCTCCTTCAACGCACAAGAAATCATTTTTTTTTTTTTAAATTATAGTATTTTCCTAAAAGAAAAAAGCCTATTTACTAGATTGGAAAACAGAACCCAGCCAAACAATGTCATTAACATAACTTATTTATGATATCCTTGTTTCCATTGCCTTTCAATATGTTTATGTTATGGTTGTTCTTCTTGTGTTACAGTATATAAAAGTTGTATTGCATGTGATATTGTATAACTAATAATAATGAACTCTGTTCTTATTCCAAAGTCCTAGTAAAACTTTCAGCAAAATACAGTACATCTGATCACTTTATTTTAAGATAATATTGCATTTTTAATTTTAGAAAACAAAAATCGTGTAGGCTGCCTCATGTTTCATAATCTTTCTTCCAGTCATTTTAAATTTTTATAGACCCTAAATACCAACCAAGAAAGTCAAAATTATGTGAAATCACATCACATTTCGAAAATCTTCATTTAGAAATTTTTTTTCCATCTGATGAATAAGCATTATTGATACCGAAACTGGAGCGAAAGTTTTGTCAATTGTTTTATTACCAAGTTATTGTTTATTTGTCGATAGTTTTACAGCTTTTGATTTCTTTAAATATTCTCAAGTTTATTTCCTTTTATAGGGGTAATAAGAAAAAGCATCTTAGGTTACTCAGTGCTGCTGCTGACAGCATATGCATAGGAGACATGATTGATCGCCAAATTAGAAATCAGAATAGTTGGTCACTCCTACCCACTCAGGTAAAGTTCAGCATCCAAACTTTTAAAAATGTTCAAACACTTGATAGTTAGTTCTGTTTAATCTTTCTTTATAAGACCAAATTCAGAAACAAATTTCTGCTCTGTTTAAAAATCTGTTCTGTTTTTCAAATCAGTAGAAATATTCTGAGTGAAAATTCAAGTTCTTTCAGTTTAACTGGTTAGTTAATTTTCAGTAGAATTTAATATTTGTTTTATTGTAAGAATAATGGAATTTAATATGTATTTGTTTTCTTAGGCAATATTTGCTAGTGTTGTTCCTGGTGAATTGCTTAAGGGACATTTAAAGCAAATGATTAATTTTCCAGCATGGCTGGGGAAGAATTCTAATCATAAGCATATGGACAGAGTTTTGCAAGAACTTCATGTGCATATGCGAATGAGGTAAATTTTGTTTGCTATTGAATTTGTGAATTAATTTCTTCTTCTTTACTCTATTATTATTCATCATTATAACTATATATTTATTACAAATTCATTATTATAAATCTACTTCTTTACTTTCTATTTCTTTACTCAAGTGAAAAACCTGATATTAATTTAGTTTTACATAGCTTTCAATTCTCTCCCTTTTTAAAAAAAAAAAAAAATTTAAAAAGTGGTTTCTTGATTTTTGTCCTAGATTTTGCCATCTTCTGAAAATGTGCATATTTACCTTTTTTCTATCAAAAATTTTTAACATTTATAAAAATTAACTTTTACAATAAAATATCTATTTTAAAAATTAAAAAAAATTCTTATACTAAGAACTATGTACTGAAAATGTTTTAATCATAGTTATTAAAATTTTAAAAACTAGATAATATGAAATAGCATGTTTTGAAAAAATTTCTTATTATATTTACTAATTTTTATTAAAAATTTTCACATTCTTGTTGTATGAAATTTTTGCATTAAATTAAGAGAGACCTTTTTTTTATGAAAATAAATAGCTGACTAAAAAAGTTATGAAAAATTTGTACAGTACACTCTCGATTACCCATGCGCGGATTATTCGTGCTCATTCCGGAGTCACACAAAAAATATAAAGAGAAACATTTTCAAGATTAAAAGTATTTGATTCATAAAGTTATAACACTACCAAATTTTTTGAAGCAATATTCGTTATTGGATTGCAGTATATGGAATATCAGCAGCATGGTCAAAGGTAAAATCGTCTACGTTATCACGATCTTGGAGGAAGATCATACCGCTTGATGAACAATCCTCTTCAGATGTTCAAGAAAAATATGATAACAGTATTCTCGAACAAGCAAAAGAAATCTAAGGTTTTGAAATTCTTGATGAAGAAAATTTAGAAGATTGGTTTCAAAGTGATGCATGTGAGTCTGGCTTCCAGTATTTGATTGATGAAGACATCGTTATGTTGTTAAATCAAATAGTGATGATAGTAACTGATGCAGAAGGTGTACTAAATGAATGAAATACAATTTCTCATTCTGCTGCTCTGTAGAAACTTTATTAGATTATATGGGAGGATTTGATTACAGTGACATTACTGCAGTTCGTAAAATATGTGTATCGATATATGGCGAAGACGCATTACACATTTTTTAATAAGGAAAATTCCTAGTTTGATGTTATGCATGCAAATGTCAGTAATTTTTATATTTTTTGTACTGATATTGAATTTTTCTTTAATAAAGGAGTTTTCGGATTATCCGTGTTTTTCGATTGTGCGACCTGTCCCGGTGATTAACCCGGATAATCGGGAGTGCACTGTATTTAGTTTTGAAAAAATTTCAGTAATCTTGTTTTTCTGTTGCGTAATGCAAAAAAGTCTTATTTTTATTTAGAAATTTTTGACAACTAAATTTTTTTTATTGTTTCTATTTATTTCTTTTATGAAGTTAGTTGTTTAATTATTCTCTTAGTATCTTTAGGTGTTTTTTGGATTCAATGTCTCTACGACATGCTAAAATTAATAAAATAAAAAGTGGCACTTATGTAACAATCATCCATTTTGGATTAACTGATGCTCCGTAATAGGAGGAACTACTGTAACAGAGATTTACCTTTTCTGAAATAAAACAGAATAAACAGATCCACTATCAGCATTTTTCATTCCATGAAATTTATTGAATTTCTTTATATTCTTTATTTATGGTTTATTTGATGAATAGTAGTAGCCTGCTTCAGTCCAGCAACAGAAATAAAAATTCCTCATCAGTGACATAATGCATTGATAAAATGTTTTAAGGCTTTTCACTTGATTTGTTTTTATTCATAACTTTAATATTCTCCTTTGATTTAAAAAAAGTTGAGTGATAAATAGATTTTTAAATATTCTACATTTTCTTGTGTTATTGATTTTTTTCCTTGTTTATCAGAAATAACTTTTTTTTGCTTATAAAATCATGCATTTATTTGAAATTAATTTTTATTTCTAGTGATTTGTTTCATTTAGCATTTTATTTATAACATTAGTTTGTAATGTTCCATCAATCAACAAATTCAAAAGTGTCATTCTATTGACATTACTAGTCAAAATTTAAGGTTTTCGTTTATAGCTTTTTTGGTAGTTGTGCAGGGATTCATCAGGGGGCAGAGCTGTCTCAATATACATCTTAAGTAGATATTTAGCATATATTTTTCGTTTTGAGTCATTTTTAATAGTTAATATTAAATTTTAAGTGGTTTGCTTCAGTGTTATGTAAATTAGATGGAATAAATATGCCTGTTTCTCCCTCTCTTCTCCTCTAATCAGTTAATCCGCTGCAGTGGTCTGTGCAGCAATCAGGCAGATGCTTCTAGATGAATATCTGAAAGATAGATCCTAAGTTTGTCTTTCCTGTATACAAAATATTTTGTCCTTATTAGTCCTGACTCATCTTAGTGTACTGATGGCTAACAGCTCAAATTTTAAATGTATAAAAAATCTTTTTGATACTTTTTAAGATGTTTTTTTACATTTAGAATTTTTTTTTTAACTTTTACTTTTGATTCACATTTAGGCTTAAAGATAATTCCATAGCTGCCAACTTTTCTGCATTTTCTGTACTGAGCCTCATTTCTTAAGCACTTTGAAAATATGCATTGAAATTTTGTACCTTCTTAAATCTACTTAAGTATATGTGTGTGAGGATGGGCTTTCATGTCTTGCTCAGACAGTGATGGTGAGAATTTTTGCTGTACTTCAGTCTGATTGATGTTATAGGTCATTAAATGATGCAAAATGTAAGATGTTAAGCATCTGATAATACGAAAGAAGGATCATATTTTTTTTTTCTACTTCAAATTTACTTACTTATCCTCTTTGTGTGGAATAGGCACATAAGACCTAGAGTCTTTTTCTCCACACACTCCTGTCTTTAGCCAGGCAAAGCGCTTCTTCCCATCCCATTAATCCTGCTCTACTAAGATCTTCCTTAATTCATCTTTGCCATGCTAGTCTCGGTCTCCCTCTTTTCTCTTTTCGTCAGACGCCCATGAGCTTGCAAAATTTGCCGGATTGTTTCTATCTGTTCTTAGTATAACTTTAAATTGAGGTAATTGTGTTAAAACACTATATAACTAACGATATATTTCAATAACTGTACTGTTGATTCTTTGAATAAGGAAGAAAATTGAAACCACGTAAAACATTCCACATTTTAAGTCATTTCTTCTGTAATTTTAGCGTTAATCTTCTTCCTTTTAAAATATATGGATAGGCAGGTGTGTGATTCTAATAATAAATTATAGGCAGTAAGTAATTAGACACACGTAACATTTTTATTTATAGTCTGTTATGTATGATTGATTTTTTTTTTCATGGGAATAACTGGTAATAAAACAGATGTTAGTTTAAAATACCTACCTCTTCTTAGTTGTTTTAGAATACTTAATTGAAAGTTAATAAAATATTCCGCGTTTTAAACAATTTCTTGTTGTAATTTTATCGTGAATCTTCTTCCTTTTAAAATAAAAGGATTTACAGGTATGTGATTCTAATAATAATTAGTAGTAGTAAATAATTTACAGACATGACATTTTTTTGTTGTATCTTATGTATAACTGATTTTTTTTTCTTCGTCAGAATAACTGGTAATAAAACAGATGTTGCTTTAGAATATCTACCTCTTCTAAAGCGCGCATTGACCAAGCCGTTGATAGAAAGAGAATCTGAAGGTATTCCTGATGTTTTAAAAATTATGGAAAATTACTTTCTCTTAAGAGAAGATTTTGACAGCATTATTGATTTATCTCTTTGGCCTAACCAAACTGACCCAAGAACAAAAATAATCACAAAGGTATGTTCTTTTTCATATTTATTTGGGTTTAAACTAGTTGGTAGATGATACTAAATAGCATAACATAAGTTTTATTTATATTGATAAAATATATTTAACTATGCATTGTAACCTAGAAAATCCCAACTTCTTAAATCTGAAAAACCTCCCAAACTCATAAAAAAAAAATTTATAATCATGATAAGAAAAAAATCAATTTAAAAAAGGGGCAAGATAGGTAAGTTCACATACTGAAAAATTGTTGCGAACGGAGTGCCAGTTTAAAAAATAATTAATCAAATGTGTGTTTTAAAATTTATTTACAGTAATAATGTTGCATTAAGAAATATCAGGATTTTTAAAGCTGTAGAAATCCATATGAATTACAACTCGAAAAATGGTTGAAAAAGTTCCTGAATATGCAATGAAATTGAACTGAATGAAAAGAATAATCAAATGCTCTATTCAAAAAAAAAAGTTTTTGGAATAATATCTTATTAAAAATATTGGGATTTTAAACACCATTTGAAGAAAGTTTATTGTAATAACTTTCAATAAGTAATCAGCAAGACTAAGTGAATTTACAATTGAACCATCGCATATTTAGATTATTGAAAAGAAATAACTCAATTGTGTTGTATTGTCATATTAAAAAAATTTTTAGATTTTAATTGTGGAAATCTGTAGAATAACGCTAAAGAAGACTAAAAACGCTAATGGATTTATAATGGAATTTATGGCCTTTTAAGTAAAATATCTAAAATTCTGAAATTATTGTATTGTTTGTAATATTTAGAATAAAGGTAATTTGGGTCATATTAATGCGGCTTTTTTTGTAATTTGCTGAAATGTTCCTGATTAAGTTTTCCATTTTTTTAAAATTAATTCTGCTACCTGAATTATTATTTTTTTATTTCTTTTTTTTTTTAACCACTGCATCGAATTACACTCGAGCAAGAATAAATCATTTTTTTCCTGGTTCAATTACCTTATTGGCTTCAAATTGATAGATATTCAGTTAAAATATCTATTTTGTTAAGTTCCATAATAACATTTAAAATGCTAAAATGTTTAGCATAAAAAATTTATCAGTAATATACAAAGTTAGATCCCATAAATTATCAAAATTGTTTTCTTTGTGAAGTTATGTTTTTTGTACATTATTTATAAACTGGCTATTATAAAACAATCCATTGCAATTATTTAAGGACCAATTATTTCATTTTTGCATTCCAGGTGGAAAGTGTATTTGCTAGAGCTGCAATTTGCTAAAACCTTCTTGATTAAGTCTTGCAATTTTTTTTCTGTCATCTGAAATCCTTTTTCTATCAGAACATCAAATTTTACTCTAACATGAATAGATATTTCAATCTATTTTTTCTTTATTCAAAAAGTTAATTTGCTTCAAGTTGACTGATGTTCAGTTGTCAATATCTTCTTCGTTAAACTTTTGTTTTAGAATACAAAAACTTTTAGTGTAAAAAATGATTGATAACATACAAAGTTAATTACGATAAATTAATCATCAGCATTTTTTTTTTTTAGTGAACCTATCCTTTTTGTATATTATTTATAAATTGGTTATTATAAAGCAATCCATTTCAATTATTTAAGGACCAATTATTTCACTTTTGCATTCCAGGTGAAGAGTGCATTTACTAGAGCCTACAATAAAGAAAGTGGTAAAAATCCATACGCTATCACTAATGTCAAAAAGAAGAAGGGAGCTTCCAAAGATGTTGAGGATGGACTTGATGAGGATAACGATGTGGTGTCTGAGGAAGAGGAAGACGAGGACATTGAGAAAGATGCAATGATTAAAGTAATTTTTTTGAACTGTAACACTCCGCACAGAAAATTCTCTAATAAGATACATCTGGCATGTAGTCTAAATTTTCTTAACCTGTAACGGAGTAAACTATTTTCAATTATTTACACTCTAATATGTAATGTTTTTTTTCCCAATGGTTTATTGGCCATTGATACAAGTTTGCAATCTACTAGTTTTATTTAATTTTATTACCGTCCTTGAGCAGCCAACCCAATTTAGGGTTTACGACTACCAATGTTGAACTCCTGGATCAAGTATAGGGAAAAATTTGCCTCATATAGGACTTTTTATTGGAACTAATCCGCATTTGTATTACATGAAGAGGAAAACCACCCATGATTACCCTGGCGGCAAGGGGACTCTAACCCATGATCTTCCTACCTCTGATGTTAATCTTTTTGTCACGTCAGCACTGTGGTCGGTGCAAGCCGGGTGCGGAATTTGAATCGACCAGCCATTGCAGGGATTCCAACCAAATCTATCATCAGCTCAATCTACTAGTTTGGAAATATTTTTTTAAACCACTGGAAAAAAAATATATCACTTATTAGATAGCTTTCTCTATTCAGTGTCTGCAGTTTTTCTGTTTATTGCCTATTCATTTTTGTGACTTAGTTCATAGTAGAAGCAACAAGATGTAACCTTTCTTTACCTCTATCATGATTACAATACTTGTTTCTAATAACAGTTGTAAAATTAATGGTTATAGGATAAATTTTTACGCTTGTTTCAACAACAAGCTGCATGAAATAAAAAATTATGGTTCTAATATAAAGTCTGTAGTTTTGTGCATATACTCAAAACAATTGTAAAATTAAGGGTTATAAAATAAACTTTTAAACTTGCAGTGAAACAATATATTAACATAAATCCTGAATTAGGAATTTGCACGGTAATTAAGAAAGCTACAAAAAGGTATATATTTTCTTGTAGACATGTTGTGAATTTGCTTTTATTAGTCTCCTTTTTCAACTTAAAATTTCATCATTTGTCACTTTTTTCTAAGTTTATGCACTTGTAGTTATTTAAATAGTGTGACCATCCAAAAATAATTTTTTTCATTATAATTTTGCTACTGCTTATTTTAATTTATGTATGAACAGTAAGAATGTACTAAAGTGACAAATATTTGTTTCATTTAAATTTTAAATAAAGAATAGTGTAGATCCAGTTAGACGTTAATAACCAAACAATTAATGGCAAAACTTGAAATTAAATTCAAATATTGGGTAGTGCATTATATATTTTCAACCTACAACAAAGAGAAAAAACGATAATTTTCTTGTAAATTCAGATTTTTGATTATTCAAATATTTTTATAGTCCTTGAGTTTGTATTAAAAATTGCCTTCTGTATTTTGAAATAAACTAAAAAAAATTTACTGCATTTATTCAATTTTTTATTTACAATTGTGTTTATTCTCCACTGAGAGCAAACACTAAAGAAATTTTTTTATGCTTAATGTTACACTTCATGCAAAATTGAAAGTACTTTTCATAGTGATATGTCTGTTGCACTATTTTTCTCACTTGTATTCCTAAATCACTCAAAACCATATTTTTGACTTTGTCCATCATTTTTGAGAAAGCCACTTCCCCTGGACTTTTTAAACAGTGTTCATCATTTAAGGATGTATGGCCTTGTTAAAACATATTTATCTAACTTTAACCTTTCACAAACGAAGGAGCGGGTATACCATGAACTTCATCCAAATCGACTTTCTTCCGGTGTTAAACCTTTTAAATGGTTGTGTTTAATAACCACATGAAAATCATTTCTTTCCACATTTCCTGAATCAACTAAAGTTTGTTTTTTCAATTGACTATGACAATGAAACTTATTGTCAACAATAATGTTTAATGATGCTTACTAAAAACAAAAACCTTTTTTAAAATTAGGAACGTCAAATTTTGTATTTTCTGAGGATTGATTGAGGAAAGTCCTCGAACTTTCTATGTGGCATAATTTAAAATTTTCCTATAATTTTATCCTTTCCCTTTTTTTTAATTTTAGTCAGAGACATCTTTAGCATTATATTTTCCAATATTTCAGGTGAAAAAACCTACCAAAAAATCTGCAGCAGACAGCAGTGAACCATCAACATCTAAGGATAAAAAGAAGAATCCCTCGAAGAGAGGAAAAGCCAAATGATTCACTGTGTATATAGTTTTAAGTTGTATATTTGTTTCAAAATAAAAAAAAATGTATTTTTTTTCCCTGCTTCTTTCTTTTTATGTTTGAGCTGTCTCAGAAAAAACATCGCAAATGTTAAAAAAAATATATATATTATTTTGCTGTTATTATTATTATTAATGTGCTGTTAGAAATTAAATACAAACAGTCTGTTTGTGGTCGTGGAGGTTTAGCTCCACAATTTTATATCAAACGGCATGATTGTGATAATGTGGCCAGCATTGTGCACAGGCCACCTTTACTTGGCTGGCAAGCTAGTATATATCGATCTGTGAAGCTGGGTGTCCTTCAGGATTGAATTCCAGTCCTTCACAATGACAGTTCCGAACCTTAACCACTGAACCATCGCTCCCAAAAAAACAGTTTCAGTTAGTATATAAATTCTGATAGTATTCAAATGCATAATGTCAGTAATTTTAATGTAAATAAAAAAAAAAAAATTGTGAAGCGTCTTTTGAATGAAGTGTTTAACAGCAAAATTTTATGTCAATAGAGTTGAAAAACGTTTCTTACATTAAGACTAGAAGCATTGCAAAAAGTAACTACTATTTTCGGTTTTGGTTAAAAAATAAGATCGTTTGAAAACGAGGTATTATAGTTTCTGATTTGTAAATTTAAACCAGGGTTGGCCAAACTGGGGAACTTTAATCAGCTTAGAATGATTTAAAACCAGTGTGGCTCTTTAGTTTTTATTAAATTTACTCTATTTCTTTTTTCTAGATATTTGATTAACCAAGGAAGAGTAAAAAATGCAGTAAACAAAGTAATAGAAATTCATCATAAAAGTACTAGTTTAAATGACTTAACTATAGCACTAATTTTACACTTGATATTATTGAAGAAAACAATAGAGGTAGCCTATAAAATTGAAAACAAAACATCTGGACACATATATTTCAATGAAATAGCATTGTACTTTTTAAACCTTTTTCCAATTCTTAAGAATATATTTTGACCCTGCGCTCAATGGCACAAGATTTCAAGAATGAAGCTCTTGTAAAGAAAAAGTGCTAAGTGTCTAATTAGCACTCATGTAAAGGAATTTTTCTTGTGACCCTGAAATGATCACCACTCAGCTGAAATTCAGAGAAAAATTCCGTTTTACAACTTCTTAAATCCAGGTCAAATATTTATAATGATGTGAAGAATTTGTGTATCTCTCTTATTACTCCTGAACCGTTAATGTTAGCGTACTAAACTTTGAACAATGTGTGAAGGGGCCTAAAATTTGTTCAGAATTTTCTATTCCATTGTTCAGGAGGGGTGCTTAAAAAATTGACTTTTTTTTCATTGGTTAAGAAGTAACAATTGATAAAAATAAAAAGCAGACGGGTTTTTTTTCTAATGTTTTACATAGTGATGTATACTAGGTTATAACTTACATTAATCAAGCGTTTTTTGATATTTATATCATTTAACTCAAGTGGAAGTATAGGTGGACTACGTCACAAAATTAGTATTTCTAAAGTTATATGAAATCACATGCTTCTTTTGTTTATCGTTATGCTTTAAAAAGTGTTTATAAAAAACCGAATAATTAAAAATCAACTGTTAGTGGAGTAAATAAAATATATGTACTGAAAAAGATAATTAATAGATTAATGTTTCAAAGTTTTTTAGGAGATGTGTAAAAAATTTTCATACTACTAATCATGCTATTGATGCTTAATTTCGAATAATCTATGTACTAAAGAACGAAATTAATGGGGAAATAGTACTTATTCGTTAAATAAAGAATCGTTCTGTAAGTAACGGTAATAATGCTTAATTCTGGTAATTGGTACAGTTTTAATAGGTACCAAATATAAGTATAATTGGCAACTGTTAAACTGCATTAATACTGTATAGTTTTAATATACAGATAAACTTTTTTTACGGTTTCACGTAAGGAATAAGTACCAGAGAAAATCGCTAGATTGCAGTAAATATTGCCAATCACGTGTTAGCCCCGAGCAACAGCATCATGCCAAATGATACTGAATACTGGTAAATCTTAACTTTGATGGGATGAACTTCTAAAAACGTGTTTTGCTTAATCTAATAAAGTAAAGCCACTAGGAAGGACAAAATAAATTAGATTAAAAAAAATTGAGTCATTTTAGCTTTATTAAATTGATGAATGTCTTTCAATTTCGGTATTGTTATTGATTTTTTATTTTTCACCCAGTTCGAAAAACTATTAAAACTAAAGTATATTATTCATCTTGTTTTTAACACAAAGGACGCATAATCGATAATTTATTTATGTATTTTTTCCGTTGTATAAACGAACTATTTTAACATTACGTAAAGAATGAACTAAGAACAATGTAATGATTTATAAACGAGATTTTAAACGATGCTTTACAGTACAAATGTACATGAATAAACAGAGTATTTATTTATAATGTCTATATTCAGATGTCTATATCCACAAATTTCAATAGCGTTTCTTACAGAACAATCTGTATAATGAATGTTTAGTTGTAAAAGGTTTTATATAACCGAGAGTTTCAGTGTTTTTAAAATTTGCGTTTCAGTCAGTTCCTTTATCGAATTTTACTTGTCTTAATCATATTATTCTAGTACTGATACATAAAACGTTTAGGTGAAGGACCCTATGTTTTCAGAGTGCCGAAAATCGTATCTCCTTTTAAGCTCGTGAAAAGTATAGTTTTTAAAATTTTTATTTTGTCATTTCCTTTGCTCAATAATGTAATTCATTATATAAGTATTGGGAAACTTTTAACAGTCGTAAGGAAAAAAGAGATGAAATAATGTAAATATTTAAGGAAGAACATTACTGAGAAATTTCGCTTCAAAATTTACCGCAGGCGTAATCTTGACGCACGTGGGACTTATTTTAATAATTACATTTCTGAAAGTTCCCTCGCGCCTTTAAAAAGTGATGACCTTATGTTTTCGTAACTATTTTATCTTTTTCGAAAATCATGGTTTTTAAAAATTTTATTTTATCCTTAATTTTCTGTAAAACGATTTAAAAAATCCATATTTAACCAAGCGACACGCCGTTTGTTTATTCTTAGAAAACATTTATCTATTAAGCGCTATTTTTTTAAAGAAGAAATGACAACTATATATAAATATCTACATGCAAAATTACTTATGCAATTATTTTTATCTTGAATATTTATGAAGTTCTTTGTTTAAACTCGGTTTAAATCACTAATGGTATCGCTAATATTTGCTTTACAAATCCTTTTTCAAGATTACTCTGTCAGTTTCATTACATATTCAACAATTTCAATTCTATTCTGATGATAAGGCGAATCAAGATAAATGTTACTTACAGGGAAGTTTTATCATTTTAATTCCAAAAAATGAAAGTCACTGGTGTGATTTGCTAAGAATAAAAAAATAAAAAAACTGCTATTGTTTAATGATATCTATTCTTGTTTTCCAAGATTTTATTGCAACTTTTGGGAAAACTTACTAATTTGAGAAAAAAAGTATTTCTATTCTTTTCCTGCATGACTTGCATTATTACTTAATTTTTTTAAAAAGAGAAAAAAATTAGTTGCGTGATCCTTACAAGATTTTTTATCCTTCACTATTGAATATTAAATAACTTGTGAACTTTATGTTTCCTGACTTCTAAATGGTGGTACATTTTAGTGATAAAAGTATTTTTATAGTGAAAGTGAAATGGCTATGAATTATTTGATAAGATGATCTTTACAGCATTAAATCAGCGGGAAATAAAATTATTACAGCGTGAAATCAAAATTGATCGTTCTTATCTCGCTAACAGTAAAGTTCTGAAACGTCTGGTCTATATGAAAAGTAAAAATTTTGTGTCGATTCATATCTTTTTGAAAATAGATTTTTAAATTAAATCTATTGAAACTGATGCATAAAGTTCGAAAAATTCCAAAAATGGCAGAAGTTAAAGAAAAGGGAAAGAACATTTCTTATAGCGTAAAAGGATGAACTTTTTTGAATCATTTAAAAGAGATCACTGGAAATGTTAATATTCTATATGTTAAAAAATCGTTTGCGCCTCCACGTTGTTGGGTGTACAACTTTACGTTACATATTGTTTTACTACCTAAAAACTTAATGAAAAATACTGACATGTGTTGAAAAATATACAGGGATTGCGATGACATTAAAAGAATTTAACATTTAATGATTAATTCTGGAATTATTAAATGTTAAACGATCAGAAAAAAAGTACCAGTGGTCCAATCTGTAGCCCGCAGAAAGGCAACTAAGGAAATGAAATTTGATGTGTTGAAAGAGCTACTTTAGTTAATAATATCAACATGAGTTTTTTTTTTTTTTTTCGAAAGTTATTGGAATTTTAAATGCTNTTTTTTTTTTTTTTTTTTTTTTTTTTTTTTTTTTTTCGAAAGTTATTGGAATTTTAAATGCTTTATTTCACCTTTTGTGTTTAGTCAGTATTTTATCTGTCTTTATCGCGGAACCCTATTTCGAATCTCTTCATTCCAGAACAGTTTGTGCTATGGTTCTGAAATTTGGACACCGACTGTTAAGCTAACTGTTTCTAACATTCATAGTCTAATTAGATTTTACTCGATGGTGCATGGATTTCCAATCCAACCCTCCCTGTAGCTTAACAGAAATGATGTTCATATTGCGTTTTCATTATCAGCTTTTGTAAATCACAATAAAATCCTAACTCGTGGAACCCCTTCTACGGCATTCTGGGGTTCCGTGGAACACTTTTTGGGAATCGCTGCTCTAAACTTTTAATTTTAAAATACTAATGGAGATGAAAGAGAATTTTCCGTGAAAAATTTCTCCCGCTGTGTAGCATCCTCTAAATCAGCTGTTCCCAATTTTTTTCGGCTGCGGAACACTAAATAATCAACATTTTTTCGGCGGAACCCTGACTTTATAAATAAAGTTTATAAAGGTAATTATGAATGTTATATCGTATAAGACTATTTTTAATATATTTAAAAAGAGGAATGAAGATTTTTCATCGTTTTATCATTAAAAATCTTAAGTTTGGTTTCATGTCCGACAGCTAAAATTTGTAAAAATTTCGTGTGCTA